ACCTCCAAATGTAAGAGTGAAACCACGGAGGACAAGTCAGCCTTTGGGTTGCAACAGCAAGAGGTTTATTCAGGACACAGGTACCTGTGGGCACAAAGTCTCCTCGGAGGACTAGCGCGCCCCAGGTTGAGTTCAGGGGGTTTTTATAAGGCAGAAGCAGGGTACAGAAGCAGAAATGCGGTTATTGGTTAATTTCAAACACACATAGTAATTTTACCAGTAATTTCAAAGGTATGCAGAGATATGGGGTAAGGGCAGGGGCCGAGGGGAAGTGGGATTGTTAAATGGGAGGTGACCTCAGTGACACCGATGTTTAAGATTTCCTGGTATCGGGCCCTCAGGGGGGGTCAGGAGTTCTGACCGTAAAGCCTGTTTTATAGCTTGATCTGTGAAGCTTGACCGGCGCCTGCCTGTCTTGCAGCCTTTAGATAAGGTTGGTCCTGGTTTCTGTTAAGTTTTAACAAGTGGGCTGTGGGCCCCTGAGCATTCATGGCGCCTAGTTTCTTTTTATTTTCTCATTGGTTACTATTTTAGTATAAGAAAAACAGAATATTATTTAGGTTAGCTTCTCCTTAAGTAAATGCAAAAACAGTTACAATGGTGGCGACAGTCCATTCTGTGGTCAACTGTTTCTAGGAACTGGACCCCTAAGGGGGAAGGAAACTTAATGGAACTAAGTTCAGCCTCGGGCTGATTGAACCTGCATGAAGCAAAATGGAGAAATGGGAACAAAATGGGAGTTTCTCACTGAACTAAACCTCCAACCTTGAAGGGGTTTAAAAGCTCCTAGGCCCGGTGGGGTCTGGACGCTGGGGATGCGGTGAACACAGGCAGTCCCATGCACCGCACCACTCGGCCGCTTCCCGTAGCTCTCCCCGCCTCCTCTGCCCAGACCTGCCCGCACCTTCCACCCTCTCGCGAGGGGGGAGAAGATAACTTCCGTGGGCAACTTACCAGGCAGGAGAGAATCCAGGAGAACCGAGAGCATTCGAGGAGGTTCCCCTGCTCCCTTCCTCCTCTGAGACAGCCAGGTCGTGGTCCGGACTCTCCCCCGCTAGGGAAATAGTTTTGCCGCCGCTCCTCCCGATGGTTTCCCCCGGCGGCCGGAACCATCTGCACTCCCGCGTGGGGAGTGAGCGGCCTCCGACGCGCCTGCGGCCACGGGGTTGGGCCTCGTGGTTAGTGGAGCGGCGCGTCCCGGCCGTCCTCCTGGGGACTCGGCGCCGCTGGCCTCGCGGCCGGCCGGGCCTTCGCTGCCCGCCTTCGCTCCCCCGCGGCTTGCCGCGGATGGTTCCGTCCTGCGGGGTCACGCGCCTTGGTTCTGTGCTGGGCGGCGTAGCGGTGAGCTGAGGGAGAGGGGCCGCAGCGACGACCCGGGAGCCGGTGACCCTGGATCCGGGCAGCCCCGCGTCCGCAGAGCCCACGTGGCAGGCGGGCTGCAGAGCTGGGTTGGTGTTGGCCTGCGGGAGCGGGATGACTGGGGCGGCAGGGTTGGATGGACCGGGATGGTAAACACGGGATGAGGGAGGTGACTAGGAAGCTACCGCCGGCCGTGGCGTGGCGTCGGTCCCACTGAGCAGCAGTACGGGCTGCGCTCCGCCTGTCCCCGCTACACTGCCTCGTCCTGCGGCCCTGGGCCAGCGCAGAGCTCCGCGCTTTTCTCCGCCTAGGCTTGAGATAACTCAGGCTCCGGCTCTGGAAGGAATGTTTGGCCTTGGGTTTGGCGGGTGGATCTTGGTCTGAGGTGGTCGCCAGCAGCCCTGGAGGAACTTGCTGGAAGTAGGTGCTGGTTTTCCAGCTTTTTAGGTGCCTCACACCAGACCCCAGCAGAGAAAAGGCCACAGCCAGCTAGTGCTGGAGGCGCCGGCTTATCACTGTTGTCATTTTGCAGTTGAGCAGTCATGGCACGTGACGTTGTTTGCCCTGCTAGTGTCATGTGCCTGGGAGCTCTATAAATGGAAATCTGGTGAAATTGGTGTAAGTGGTGGGGAGGGAGTCTGAGCTAGAGATACAGTCCCATATTTATCTCTCTCCCTCCTCTTGCGGGGACGGAGATGCTGCTCTCTCCTGTGGAGATTCTTGTAACTCCTTCTGTGTCTACTTAGTGGCCCGCTGCTATGAGACTACAGGAAATAATGAAGTAAACCAGGGCCTGGGCACAGCAGGGAAGGATAGTGTGGGTATAGTTGGCCAGGTCTATGGCTTAACCAGTGTAGGCAGAGACATGCATATGCATCCTGCCACTCTGAGGAACTGAGGTATGATAACGAAAACACCAGGTTGGTTTGTGCAAAGTTTTTGGAAAGGAAGGTTGTTAGGCATACTCACACCAGCTTGGTGGGCATTGGAATTGGAGAGTGACTGAAGGATTCAGTGCAACCTGAGAGCCCGTTCTCCTGTGCCAGGGTGGCATTGTGAGAGGTTAAATAACAGTGGATGTCACCACCGCTAAGGACTAGAGACCCAGGTAGTAGGTTTCTCTGACTCCAGAACTAAGTATCATCTAGGGTTCCTTTAACTGTCTTCGAGTGTGAGGTATCCCAAGTACTCAGAATTCTTGTTAGACAAGTGCTTATTGTCAAAACTAGAACTAGGAACATCCTGTGTGATCTTAGTGCTTGGTGACACTGCCTCTGGTTTCCCTTTCTGCTGGAGAATGGGAAGAGAGACCTGTCTAGTCCCATGACCCAAAGGGTTAAATTGGTATGATACATGGAATTACCAGCTGTAGGAAGGATGGAAGCTTAATAGTTTTGTCTTTTTGAGACAGGATCTCCTTGCAGCCCCAGCTCTTCTTGAACCTGCTGTGTATGAACTAAGATCCGCCTGCCTCTACCTCCCAAGTGCTGGGATCAAAGGTGTGCACCACCATGCCCGGCCCAGGAAATGTAATAGTTTTAAAAATGTTTTCTTTTGGCTGGGTGTGTTGGTGCATGCCTTTCAGAAGCAGTCGGGTCTCTGTGGGTTCAAGGCCAGCCTGGTCTACATATCGATTTCCAGGCCACCTGGGGTTACAGGGAGACCCTGTCTCATAAAAGACCAAAAAAAAAGTTAAAAAAAAATTTCTACTTAAACAGTTTCAGTTTATGGTCACTTGGCCTTACTGTGCCTGGCCATGGTGACATAGTGCACCATGGTGGGGAGTGTATGGTGGTGCAAAGCTTCATGCCTCGTGACAGCTGAGAAGCAAAGGGAATGGCCAGTGTTCCCTTCAAGGGCACACTACAGTCACCTAACTTCTTTGCACTAGGACCCATCTTTGAAAGGTGCCACCACCTCCCAACAGCACCATCAGCTGGCAACAAGTCTTCAACACATGACCTTCTTTGGGGGACTTAGAAGAGCCAAAGCAGGACCAACGAGGTGGCTCAGCAGGGAAAAGCACTTGCTATACAAGCCTGATGATTTGAGTTCAATCCCTGGAATCTGTAAAAACCTGGATGCACCTGTAATCTCAGCACTCTGACAGTGAGATGAGAGGCAGAGACAGACTTGTGGGGTTGATCTTGGACCAGTTAGGTTGGAGTGTACAGTGAGTCAGAAACAACAAGAGAGACCTGCCTCAACAAGGTGCAAAGCAAGAAGGGACCTTACAGTTGTCCTCTGACCTCCTTGTGGGTGCCATAGAATGTGCATGCATTCATTTTCTCTCTCATAAATATATAAATAAATAATTTAAAAAAAATTTTAAAATATTTATTTTTGGGCTGGAGAGATGGCCCAGCGGTTAAGAACACTGGCTATTCTTGCAGAAGAACCACACTGCTCTCTGCGACACTGGCTGCAAGTCACTGCTCTCTGCAAAAGCCTGTGGATGTAATGGTACCAGTTGTCTCAAGTTCCTGCTCCTGGCCCTGCCCTGCCATGAGGGAATGGAGCCTCAACTGTGAGCTGAATAAACCATTTCTCCCTTAAATTACTTTTGTCATGGCATTTCATCAAAGTAAGAAGAAGAAGGAGAAAAAAACTAAGACACATGGGCACCCAGAATTAACTACATTTCCCTTTCTTCTTAAAAATATTTTATTATTTTTATTTTATGTGTATGAATGCATTGCTGGTGTATATGTATATGCACCCATGTCATTCAGTGCCTGTGGAGGTCAGAAGAGGGCATTAGATCTCCTGAAACTGGAGTTACAGATGGTTGTTAACTACCATGTGGGTGCTGGGAACAAAACCTGGGTCCTAAGCAAGAGCAGCTGGTGTTCTTAACCACTGAGCCGTCTCTCTAGCCCCTAAACAAAATATTTTTCAAAAGGACCCAAAGCATAACAACAGATAAAGCTCCAAGTCCTCTTTGATATTGGCCTAGTTTGAGGTAGGCTATAAGCTGCTCAGATGTTTCCCATGCTACAGAGACCTCTCAGAATTGACTCTGATTTTTATTTTTCCTTCCGTAGTAAACATCAGATCTTTGAGTGTGATTGCAGTTGCCATACTCTTGGTATCCAATGGGATTTTGCATGTTCTGGTCCAGGTGGAATGGTGGAGGTGTGATCTGTTAAGCATAAGGTTAGTATTGTTGCTTTACACATGGGTAAACTTGGCTAAGAGCTGCTCTCATGGGACTGCTCTGCTGGAAGGACTTACTCTGTTCTTTGTGTGCCTCTCCAAGGAGGATGTGGCCCCTTTCCCAGAATGTGTGCCTCTGTCTTGGGGTCCTGGTTCTCTTTCTAACTCCCCAACCTCTTTATCATTGATTCTTTCATCTCCTCCCATTGGATTTTTCTTCTTTTTCTTTTCTTTTTTTTTGAAGCATTGACTCATGTAGCCCAGGCTGGCCTGGAAGTTGCTATGTAGCTGCAGCTGGCCTTGAGCTCCAGCCACCTCCTGAGTGCTGGGATTATAGGTGTATGCTACTATGACCAGCTGTGGTGAATCCTTAAACCATCGTTATCCTTGATCTCACTGCTCTTCCTATGCTTGCCCTTGAATTTCCCTGGACACCTCCACTTTCTCTGGTGACAACAGTCATCTCTATGGGTAACTCCTAACTCTTAATTTGGTGTCTTCCATGTGTTGGGAACTATTGTGGATGCTGAGGGGATTACAGTTAACTAGAAAGTCTCCACTGATAGGGACTTTGCATTTGTAAATCAACATAGCTCCCAAAGCCAAGGTTGCCAAGTGGGAGGATGGGAATGGTAGGACAAAGGAGGTGGCAGTCTGCATGGGCTAGTTTGAGAGGCTTCTGAGTAGGGACGGCACATGGAGGCCAAGTGTTGAGAAAGGGTGAGCCAGACAGACGTCTGTAGAGTGTTCTGGAACTTTACCTTCAGCCTCACCTTCTCATACTGTGGTAAGAATCTTCATGGGCCATGTGTCATACTGTTCCCAAATTTGGTCTCCTGTCCTGCCATTTGTTCTGTGCCTGCTGCTGCTAATCCCAGTAGAACCTCAGGTTTGAGGACAGGTGCTGTGGCAGCCTGTCAGCTTAGGGAGTTACCTGCAGAAACGACAGGTCGGTTATAGCCTTAGCAGATGAGCTAAAGGTATAGGCTGCAGACATGACTGCCAGGGGGAGTGCCAACTCAGAGGATACAGAGACAACCAAAGTACAGATTCTTAAGCCTGCTGTCAGGTGCAGGTGCACACTGAACTACTACCTTACCTCCCTCCTGAGTTTGGCATCCCAGGTATGCCATCTGACTGAGCATCCCTTGGTCAAGTCTATCCAGCCTTCCAGGGGATGAATACTTGGGAAAAGGTGTCCCTCAGAAGAGTGTTTGACTTCTGGCCAGTGTCTCACCCATATTCAGAGACTGAAGTTGTTCCACATTGCCTTGAGCAGGACTGTCCTGTGACACTTGAGGGAAATGTCCTGGAACCTATACTGTTCAGATGGTGGCCATAAGCCTTATGTGGCTACTGAGCACTCCAAACCTGGCAGGTGAGGCTGTGGAGCTAAACTTTGCTCTAGTTAGTTTAACTCTAAGTTGTCACATGTGACTGTGGGCATCATGGGTGTGGCGAATAAAGGAGTACTCTGGCCTGTTATTCCTGACCCTTCTCCAGTCAGTATGGCTTACAGTGCCCATGGGTCGGGGATGCTGGCTGTGGCTGTCCCCGCTTCTGCCTTTGTTGCTGTGGTTTTTGTCCCCAGACCATCTCCTCTTTTGTGAGAATCCCAGGAACATTCTGAACTTGAATACCTTTCCTGGTATCTGTGTAAAGTAGGGAACAGATGCCCTGCATCTGCCTGGCCTTTGTGAAGAAGGTTCCCTTCAGCTCCACTAGTGCTTGTGTAATCAATCCCTTCCACTGTCCTGCCTCTAGGGGTTCCCTGTGGTTGCTCCCATGCCATGCTCCAGGTCTCCCCACATGGGAATGAGATGTATTCATCACTGGCAGTGAGTCCCTGCAAGCATCCCAGCACCTAAACCTTGCCCAGCAGGTGGGAGACACTGGGTGAAGGAGCAGCTTGGTGCCTGCCACTTCTTTGTGTTGTTCTAATGTGCCTGCAAATGTCATTTGCCTCCTGGACTTGTAGTTTCACCTAGTGCTTTCAGTGTGAGTGTATATTTGAGTTTTCCTTCCTTCCTATCTGTCTGGCCCCCTTGTTCTCTCCTCCTGATGCAGCACCGGTGTATGGTGGGTGCTCAGCAGGTGGAGAGTTCCTCTGCCAGGCAGGCGCCTATCAGGACTACCTGTGTGGCTTCAGTGTGTCAGAGGCTCTGCCAAGGTTTCAAGCATACTGATGGTGTTCTTGCTCCACAGGCCTCTTGTCTGCAAGCACCATGAATGCCATCGTTGCCCTCTGTCACTTCTGTGAGCTCCATGGTCCCCGCACTCTCTTCTGCACAGAAGTTCTGCATGCTCCTCTGCCCCAGGGTGCTGGAAATGGGGATAGTCCTGGCCAGGGTGAGCAGGCTGAGGAGGAAGAGGGTGGCATCCAGATGAGCAGCCGGGTCCGTGCCCACAGTCCAGCTGAGGGCGCCAGTGCTGAGTCCAGCAGCCCGGGGCCCAAGAAATCGGACATGTGTGAGGCAAGTGTTTTTGCTTGAGGTGTTTTTACTCTTTCTGTGAGGTAAGGTGGGGGAGGCATGAAAGACCTCTTAAGGTTTGAAAGCATTGGGTAAGGCCCAGACCTCAGGCTTCTCCGCAGGCCTTCTGGTCTGTGTGTACCCCCTGTGTCCTTTGTCTCTTTCCCATCATCCCAGTGTGTCTTTTTAACCTATTCTGACATGCAGTTGCCACCCCAGCATGGCAGTTACCTTTGGTTCATTGCACCATCAGACCCAGGCTCGCATCCTTTCAGCTCATCACTTGATTACCAAAGTTCCTCTTTGTTGGAGTGAAGCTAAAGTTCCCAATAGGCCACTGTTGGGGAGGACCTGGGTTGGCCTGGTTGAGTAGGAGTTGGAGCTGCTGCTGCTGCAGTAAAGAGGAATCCATCTTCATTAATTTGGTTCTGCTGAGAAGCAGGCATTGTGGAAGAAAGTCCTTTGTTGAGTGAAACTGAGGGACTGGTGCCAGGGTTGAGGGTCGAAATGTGGACCTTGCCTTCAGGCCTTGGTACGAGTGAGAGGGAAGGAAGAGTTTTAGAGGACTAGGCTAGGCTCTCAGGTCTCCTGGGAGGGTCTTACCTTAGTGTCTGCCTGGCACAATGCCAGCTTAGGGCCCTTGCAAGATACAAAGCCTAAGCTTGTGGCAGCTCCAGTGTGGTGGCTCTGGGTCCATCTGCCTCTTCACTTTCACCCTGGATAGTCTGAGTGATGGGTTTTCAGGCTGTCATACCAGCACTCACCTCTCGTGGATGAGGTCATACTCTAGCCTATGGCCGTGGCCTCTGCTTCCAGTTTATTCAGGACCAGGAAAGAGGTCTGATGGAGAGTAGATGGAATCACTCAGAAAAGTGACTGCTCTGTGCCCTGGGTCCAGCAGCTTTTCATCACAGTCTTAGCTATCTGTAAAATGGGGCTTCTTGCTGAAGTCATCTGGAGTTGCCCCTGGGACTGGATGAGATAAGTAATGGAGAACGCATGCCTGCTAGTAAGCTTCAGTAGGCCATAGCTGTTGCTGCTAACTTTATACAACTTTTGTGGCCCATAGGTCTTGGTTTTCTTATTTAGAGAACACTTAAAGCCTGAAGTAAGTAGAGATTTAAAAGCTAGTTATTACTATATATAAATAGATGAAGACAGTTGGGCATAGTAGCACGTGTCTGTAATCTCAGCATTTGGGAAGATTCTGAGGCAGGAGATTCCTAAATTCCAAACTGGCCTTAGCTACATCATGAGACCTTGTTTTGAAAGAATTAAAAATGTGGGGACTGGTAGTTGGCTCAGTGTCTAAAAGTGCTTGCTTGCTGCCAAGCCTGATGTCCTGAATTTGATCCCCAGAATCCACCATGGAAGGAGAGGAACAATTCCTTTGAGTTGTCTATCCTTTCTCTCTTTCTCTCCCTCTCTTTCTCTCCCTCTGTTTCAATTAAATAAATCTTAAAAAAAGATTGGATTTTCTAAATTCAGATATGCACATGGGTAGGACACTTTGTTGCCTGCTTCCAGTTAATACATTTCATGTCCTTCTCGTGGGCAGGGCTGCCGATCACTTGCTGCAGGGCACCCAGGCTATATTAGCTATGATAAAGAGACCTCGATTAAGTACGTCAGTCACCAGCACCCCAACCATCCTCAGCTCTTCAGCATTGTCCGCCAAGCCTGTGTCCGGAGCCTGAGCTGTGAGGTAAGGCTGGTGTTGGGCTGTCTTTGTGGGAAATCACATAAATACAGGTTCAATGCTGTTTGTAGACTGCCTGGCTTGTCAGTGCAGTGTGAGCATGCCTATAGTTGTTAGAGCTTGAAGGGTAAGTTGTGGACTCTGGCTGTCTAAATGGAGGTAGCGTTCACTTTCAGTAACAGACTCTTATTTTTTGTTCATTTAGAAAATATTTTATTTTATTTTTTGGTCTTTTTGAGATAGGGTCTCCCTGTAGTCCCAGCTGTCCTGGAACTCACTATGTAGACCAAGCTGGCCTTGAACTCACAGAGATCCGCCTGCCTCTGCCTCCCGAGTTCTGGGATTAAAGACGTGCGCCACCACGCCTGGCGAAAATATTATTTTTTATTTTATGTGTATGAGTATATTGCCTCATGTATTTAAGTTCATCCGTATTGTACGGTGACCATGAATATCAGAAGAGGGCATCAGATCCCCTGGAACTGAAGTTGTAGATGGTTGTTTGCTGCCTTGTGAGTGCTGGGATTTGAACCCCAGTCCTCTGGGTGAGCAGCCATGGAGCCATCTCTCCAGCCCCCTTTTGTCCATTCTTGATGGACATGCTTCTGTAGTATGACAATTTCTAGTATGCAGTTTTTTCTATCGAATATCACCTTTGTATTGTCTTCAACCATAATTCTCCATCGCGGAGCTCTCAGAACCTTCTGCAGAATGCAGTTTGTTCTGGGAGTACCTGGCTACTGCTCTCAAATATAAGTCTTAGCTTTTAGGTTTGATCTGTCACACAGACCTAATGGTTCAGCTCCTAAGCATTCCTGCCCCTGTATCTACCTCATCTGCCCTCTTGGGCCTGTGTTGCTGGTTTTCACTTGACTCTTTCAGTCTCCTGCTGCATGTTTGCTAGTAGGTAAATGCCATGTATACAATAGTTACACGTTCAATAAGCATATCAGGAGGAAAAGACCAAAGGACTAATTAAGAATCGAGTGTGTCCTTTCACTCTAGGCCCAAGTCAGGTTTGGGGTAGATGGAGTATTCATATAGGAGTTGTCTGTGGCTGAAGGTGGAAAAAAGCAAGGAGTTTGGTGTTATGGCACTGGTAATAAACCTTGGCCTGGTGGTGCATGACTTTAATCCCAGCACTCAGAAGGCAAATGTAGGCAGATCTCTGTTAGCTCGAAGCTAGTCTGGTCTACATAGAGAGTTCTGGGCCAGCCAGGGCTACTTAGTGAGGCCCTGTCTCAAAACAAAACGGCCTGTGGTGTGGCACAGTGGTAGAGTGTATACTTAGTATGCATAAGGCCTTGGGTTCTTTCCCTGGCTCTATGAAAAAGCAAAGAAGTTTCTCACACAGGAACAAGTGACTGTGAAGCTCCTATTCTCACCTGTCCCCTCCTACCTTCCCCATGATATTTTCTGGCTAATTTGTCCTAAAAGAAAGATCTAGGAGAGAAAGACTGGAGAGTAGCTCATTGGGTAGAGGGCTTACTATGTAAGCTTAAGGACCTGAGTTTGGATCACCAGCACCCACGTAGAGGCCAGGCATGGTGGTGTGTATATATAACCCCAGTGCTGGGGAGGTAGAGTTATGTGGATCCTGGCCAGCCAGCCTAGCCAAAACAGCAAACTCCAAGATCAGTAAGAGACCCTGTTTCAGAGAAAAAATGTGGAGAGTGATCGAGAAAGACACTTGACGTTGACTTCTAGTCTCACTATACGTGCCCGCGTGTGCCCGCGTGTGCGCGCGCGCACACACACACACACACACACACACACACACACGGAGGGGGTGGGGTTGAGGAGAAGCTAGGGTGCAGCTCAGTGATGGAACACTTGCATACCATGTGCAGAGCCCTGAGTTCTCATTCTAGCATCACCAAAACAATAAAACCAGTACCCAAGATGCTTTAACCAAAGTCAGAAGAGGAATGTTCTTGAATTACTGTGGCTTCCTCTCAGGTGTGTCCTGGTCGTGAAGGCCCTATCTTCTTTGGGGATGAGCAGCATGGCTTTGTATTCAGCCACACCTTCTTTATCAAAGACAGCCTGGCCAGGGGCTTCCAGCGCTGGTATAGCATCATCGCCATCATGATGGACCGCATCTACCTCATCAACTCCTGGCCCTTCCTACTGGGAAAGATCCGTGGGATCATTGATGAGCTCCAGGGCAAGGCCCTCAAGGTGACACCTGGAGTCAGGGGCACTCACCCTACTGGTATGGATGCTGAGAACCAAGGAAGTAGTGGTCCTCTTGGCCTGGCTGCTGTTGTGGGTCCCCTGTTTGTGGTCTTAGCCTCGGTGTTGTGATGGGGGATGAGTGGCATTCCTAATCAACCTGTGGCTCTCCTGGCTGCTGTCTAGCTACTGGCTTCTTGCCTGGTGTCTTTGCTTCCTTTGCTGTTCAGGATCCACACTGTCTGCTAGTCTTGTCAAGACCCCCCCACCTTGAGCATCCCTCCAGCTGTAGTGCTGTATCACAGAGCAGGTGGGCATACTCTGGTGATGGAACCTTAGAGTGCAGTGACTCCAAATCACAAAGCCTCTTTATTTCTCATGCCCTGTCTGTAGCTGTAGGGTAGGGGCTGCTCATCACTTATCCTGCTAGGTAGAGCAGCTCTGCTAAGCTGGAGTGTGGCTTGAGGGCACAGGAAACTGGTGTAGGAGTTAGTCGTGTTTCCCTCACATGCAAGCGTCTGTAGAAAGGGCCTGCCAGGGGGAGGCCAAGAGCACTTGGGAGAGTTATAAGTACCCAGCAGGAACCTAAGGGACCAGTGGTAGGATAGAAGAGGGATGGGAGAAGCTCTGCACCTGTTCTCCCGGGCCCCAGAGCTGTCCTGTGAGGCATTGTCAGGCTGTGGCACTTCCGTGTTCTGAGTCAAAGAGAAGATAGCAAGAAAGTTTGGGAAGACTGAATGGCAGTGGCTGTGAACAGGTAGGTCTCAGCCTCAACTGAAGTGCCCTCCTCCGCTCCTCCTTGTATTCAGGTGTTTGAGGCAGAGCAGTTTGGATGTCCACAGCGTGCCCAGAGGATGAACACAGCCTTCACACCCTTCCTGCACCAGAGGAATGGCAATGCTGCCCGCTCTCTTACCTCCTTGACCAGTGATGACAACTTATGGGCATGTCTGCACACCTCTTTTGCCTGGTAATGAGTCATGAGTGATGGCAGATCACTGAGCCATTAGGGCAACCCTTGGCCAAAGTTGCTTGGCTGCCTTCTGGTGGTGCTGACTGGTATGCACCTGCTGGTGAGCTCTGAACCAGGAGACCTGTTCTCTTGGGCCTCTTCCCCTGGTTGGAAACACTTTTAGATAGAACTCACTTTACTGATACAAAGAGCATTTCTGTACCAAGACTAGCACCTTTTCTTTAAAGATGGCAGCAGGCATCTGGCTCAGGCTTCTGAGTTGTGAGTTGGTGCTTTTGGTTCAGGTCTGGGAATTTTTGCAGGTGGGGCTATAGTCAGCTGACATCTGAAGTGAAGGGTTGGTACACAGGTGTGTTATGGATGTGGAGCAGACAGTCTCCACTGAGTAGTCTAGGAGAATGGGGTGGAGCCTCTAGGGCCTTAGGGCTCAGCGGGTACAGGTTGCCCCTTAGTGTTATTTGCATGTAATATGCTTAGTGTTCTGCATGTACCATATTAATCAGTTGATGGACATGTAGACTGGTCCTGTTTTCTTAGCTATTGTGAATAGTGCAGCAATAAACAGAGATATGAAGTATCTTTGGTCTGGTGACTTAGAGTTCTTCAGGTAATACCCAGGAGTGGTATAGCTGGGTCATATTAGTAGTTCTCTTTTAGTTTTTGAAGACCCTCCACTCTGTCTTGCATAGTGCCTGTACCGGTTTACATTCCCACCAGCAGTGCATAAGGCTTCCTGTTTCTTCATCCTTACCAACATTTATTGTTCTTGATTTTCTCGATTTTTTTTTTGAGACAGGGCCTCAGCTGGCCTAAAACTTGATAGGTCGACCACGCTGACTTTGACTTCACAGAGATCTGTCTGCCTCTGCCTCCTGAGTGCTGGGATTAAAGGTGTGTGCACACCATGCCCAACTTGAAATTTTTTTTTTTCCTTTTTAAAATATTTTATTCATTATTTTATGTGTATGAGTATATTGCCTACGTGTGTATAAGTGTACCCGTGTCCTGCAATGCCTGGCCTGGGGAGGTCCTGGAACTGGAGTTAGGGAGGGTTGTCAGGCCGCCATGTGGGTGCTGGGAATTTAATTAGGGTCCTCTGCAAGTGCAGTCAGTGCTCTTAACCCCTGAGCCATCTCTCTAGTCCCCTTGAAGTCTATATTTTGTATGTGTGTTTTGCGTGCTTGTATGTAAATGTACTATGTGCATACAGTGTCTGCAAAGGCTAGAAGAGGGCATTGGATCCCCCTGGAACTGGAGTTATGGATGGTTGTTAGCAGCCGTATAGGTGCTGGTAACCAAACCTGGGTCCTCTGAGAGAGCAGCTGGTGCTCATACCTGCTGAGCCATCTTTCTAGTTCCTGTTCTTGATTTTTTGATAATACTCATTCTGATTGGTATGAAATGGAATCTCAAGACACTTAATTTGCATTTTCCTTATAGCTAACGATATTGAATACTTTTTCACATATATATTGGTCATTTGTATTTTTTCCTTTGAGAATTGTCTAGAATGTTTTCAGCTGTATTTTTTGAACTATAAATGTAGCCATAATAACATTAGCTCACTCAGCAGAATTAGAGAGTTGTCCAGTATGCTACCCTTGTTCCGTGTTCCCTTTTGTCTCAAAGGTAACTTCTGAATTGGATGAAAGCCAACAGTTTCTTCAAACTGCTCTGCACCCTACTTTCCCGTGCCCTTAAAGGAGGATCAGGCTCATGTCTTACAGAATGTGTGGGGTAGTCTCGAGTATGTTTATATAGGCCATTTTCTGTGAGCTAGGGGTTGAACAAAGGGCTTGATGAGCCTTAGGTCCAGTTTTCCCATTGGCAAGGATATCTCATGGCGGGTGTTGTGTTCATCTCCAGGCTCCTAAAGGCATGTGGTAGCCGGCTGACAGAGAAGCTCTTGGAGGGTGCCCCCACTGAGGACACCCTGGTCCAGATGGAGAAGCTTGCTGGTAAGGCTATGTACCTCTGCTGGGCCCTCTGGCTGCAGTGGCCCCTGGCCTTTAGCTGCCCTGGCAGGTGGGACTGCTACAAGGGGTTATGGCTATGAACAAGCCTAATAGGCCTTTGTCAGGACCAGTCCCTTGCTGACGGTGGTTTTGTTGCGATTTCCTTTCTCATTTTCCTTGATGGTGCCTTGAAAGCCTATTCTTAGGTAGGTTGGGGATCCCCACTAGAGCTGCCTGTATTTAGGAGTCACAACCGTGGCACTGAAGCTTGTGCTGCCTATCACCACAGAAGGCCAGTGAGCAGAGATAGGAATCTTAGAGCTGGCATTCTGAGAAGACTAAAACCTGTCTCATAGCTCCTCTTTAGGCAACAGATAATATAGAAGAGCGGGGGGAAGCAAAGGCAATCAGTCATTCTGGAATGCAGTCTTGCTTCTCTGGTCAGGTGGTTGTTAGGTAAAAAAATAAAAAACACCGGGTGTGGTAGTCTGTGCCTTTGATCCCAGCACTCTGGAGGCAGAGGCAGGCAGATCTCTGTAAGACCAACCTGGTCTACCTAGCAAATTCCAGGCCAGCTGGTGCTACAGGGAGATGTCTCAAAAAATAAACAAAAGCCACTCATACACATAAAATAAAAAGAAAATAGTGACAGATTCATAGAGAGGAAGCTAGCATGAGATTATCCTTCAGAAGAGATTTATTAGGAAAATTACAAGCTCAGGGCTGTAGCCAGCCACGATGAGGCCCTGAAATGGGAGAGTATTAGAGGAGGTAATGGCATAGCACAGACAGCCATATGGGGCTCTGAAGGGAGAGAAACAGGCCTCCAGTTCTATAGAACAAACAGTTTCTGATTCTTAACTGTTTTCTTGGCGGGGGTTGAACCTGTTTCATACCATGGGATCCAGTCTTTGTATCAGAAGTCAGGAAGGCACTGATAAAGACATAACTGTCATTCAGCAGTACCTGGCACCTGAAATGGGGAGGGAAAGTCTGGAGGGGGTGTGTGGCCTGACTTCTGGGTGAGAAAGCCTGGTAGCCAGAGGACTGTAACCTAACAGTGGTCAGCATACTTTTGAGACTTGGGATGTCTGTGCTTGTTGGTGTGCCTTGCACTCTTCCCTCATTCTATGGGTGTTTGTATTCATGTACTTCCTGAAACACTAAGTTTAGTTGGTGTTTGTTAATAGCAACCCTATACTCCTCCAGGGGTATCTGAGTTGGGGGAAAAGGGTTAATCCAGAACAAAGAAAGCATGGACAGTGTGTGCACACAGATTTCCTTTTTATACTGTGAATTTCCTTTTTTTTTTTTTAACAGTATATGTCTTTATAATACAGAGTGTAAAAGTGCCCCTGTCCATCCCTCTGTCAACCATCAGAGTAAGAGGTGAAAAATAGACTGAGGTTGTTGGGATGAAGCCAGTGCTTAGTCTCATAATAGATGGAGTGCTGTATCAGTTGTCCTTGAGTTTTCTATCCAGGACAGTGGCTCTTAAGCCTCCCAGGGGCCTGGCCTTCATTTGTGTGACTTTTCCTGGGGACACGTGAATGACTGTTTGCTAACTCCCAATCAGGAACCAATGACAGACTAAAGTAACTCCACCAAAGTCCAATTTGACAAAACAGTGAGTTTATTGGAGTTGTTTATAGGAATTTGAGTGAGGAGTTACAGGAGCATGGATGACAAAGGTTGCTGTAGGTCTGCCTGTCTCCTCCCTAGCAATCGTTTTTGGCTTCTCTCACCTTGGAAGGGTCTTGTGAATCTTACTAGTTTCAGAAGCTTCCTGAGGTTTGTGAGCTGTTCACTTCCTGAGTTTCACCGAGCCTCCGTCTTACCTCCTTCAGAAGAGATGAGCACACACCACCATCCGTGCATTCCTATTTGGAATCTCTACACTGAAGCACAGAATACTTTGTATTTGACTGACTTTCTTGGGGTCTCTATGCAGGGCTTCAGCCCCCAGTGCTAGCTCAGCCTCCTTCCAGATGATTTCAGTTCTGGTGTTGACAGTTCCTCATGGCTGCGGGCTGGAAACTCAGTGGTCACTTAGGGTTCATGATGCAGTCTGTTACAAACAGTGCTGCACATGTCTCGGTTCTCAGTAGTCCAATCTCTTTGCAGATTGTCACTGAGGTTGAGCACTTAAGGTACACACGCTAGTGCTCCATTGAGCACTCCTGAGCACAGAGAGATAGGAGTGAGGTCTCAGGAGAGCAGGACACACACAGAAAAGACAGACCTTGGAGTTGCTTTCTTGTCTCCATGGGTCAGTCATTCTTAGAACTGTTTTACTACAATGTCGCTCAAAGAAGTGTAGATAGTGCAGACAAGCAGACTAGTATCTCTATGTGGTATGTTTTCTGGGAGAAGTTGGGTATGCTTTCAGGAGGACTAGATGTGCCCATGTCATGGGTCTTAGCCACATTTGGACTGTATTGGGTCATGAAGGAGCTGAGTGTGGGCTCAAGCATGCTTTGGAATCTGATAGAACTGACTTCAAATCCTCACTCTGTATAGGGGAACCTTGCCCTTCAGGTCTCAGTGTGACGTGATTGAGATGTGATTGTGAGCCCACCATGAGTACTAGTAGAAGTAACAAACATTTGTGCCTGTGTGGGTGGGAAGATGTGTGAAATGGTGTGGGAAGCCCCAGGATTGGTGCTTGGCAGAGCAGTGCTGGTAAACATGCTGTTTGCAAGGCATCATTGAGCTTTCCATCAGTAAGAACTTCTAGAATATTGCTTCTGCCTGGACTAAGTAAAAGCCACCAAGCCTTCCTGCCCTCCCCAGATGCCCAGCACAGGTGGCAGAGACAGCTGGTCTCTTGAAGGTACAACAGTGGCTGGTACTGTAGCCAGAGGTCCCCTGGGGCTGAAGTAGTCACATGACCAGGCTATTGCATTTAAAGGGGAGCACATTCAATACCAGTCTTTTTTGTCTGTCCTGTAGACTTAGAGGAAGAATCTGAAAGCTGGGACAACTCTGAGGCTGAGGAGGAAGAGAAAAACCCTGTGTTGCCAGAGGGTGCAGAAGGGCGGGAGCTAACCAAATGCCCAACAGACTCATCCTTTCTCTCAGACTGTGGAAGCTGGCAGCCCCGAAAGCTTTCGGTCTTCAAGTCCCTTCGGCACATGAGGCAGGTAAGCAGTGACAGTATAGTCCTAATTGGAAACTCCAGAGAACAGCTTGGTCACTCTGTAGCACACTGGTGCTTGGGGCCTGGGCCTCTTTTACATCTAGGGCTGGCAACTAGGAACCTTCTCAGTGGGTGGCTATGGGCACAGTGGATGTCAGAGTCTTTACCCCAGGACTAGCACCCATTTAATGACGGTAGGCATCTGGTATTATGTCTGTGTACACTCACATGCATGTGCGTATGTTGGTGTGTGCACATGTGTGTGGAGGCCAGAGGTCAACCTCTGGTGTTATTCTGCAGGATGCCATCTAACTTGCATTTTGAGACAAGGTCTCCTAACTGGCCTGGGACTTGTCAAGTAGGCTATACTGGCTTGTTGGTGGCCAGTGAGTCTCAGGGTTCTGCCCCTTGACATTTCCTTAGCATTGGGTTAATAAGCATGTGTGTGGGTGTGCGTGCTTCTTTTTTTTAATGTGGGTTTTGGGGCTCCAACTCAAATCTTCATATTTGCCAGCAAGAACTTTTTATGGACCAAGCTGTCTCCCCAGCCTGGCATCTGTATCTGTAAGGCCTGGGTGAGTGATCCTCTAATCTTAACTATTCTAGAATCTTCTGAAGATGCTAACACTAGGTTAGACTCTTTGCAGCTTGAAAATAATGGACATTCTTACAGTAAATTGGGTATAACCTACATGTAAACCTTGGTAATTTCAGTGTGTCTAGACAGAGGAAGATTATTTAATTATCTATTTTTGCTTTTTTGAGACAGGGCCACTCTGTAGCCCCAGCTGACCTGGAACTTACTGTATAGACCAGGTTGGCCCTTCCTGGAACTCACTATGTAGACCAGCTTGGCCTTGATCTCACAGAGATCCATTTACCTCTGCCTCCTGAGTGCTGGGATTAAAGGCGAGCACCACCATGCCCAGCCCCTATTTTTTTTTTTTTTTAAGGATTTTTAAAATAGTGTTTGTAGGTGTGTACTTATAGTGTGCACACAGGAGTGCAGGTGTCTTCAGAAGTCAGAGGTGTCAGATCCCCTTGAGTTGGAGTTGTGGTTGTGGGCCACCTGATATGGGTGCTGGGAATTGAACTCAGGTCCTCTGGAAGAGCAGCAAGTGTTCTTAACGTCTGAGCCATCTCTAGCCTAACAGGATTTTTTTTTTGGTCTGTTTTGAGACAGGGTCTCCCTGTAGCCCCAGCTGTCCTGGAACTCACTGGCCTTGAACTCACAGAGATCCACCTGTCTCTGCCTCCTGAATGCTGGGACTAAAGGCAAGCACTACCATGCCTGGCTCCAACTGGAATATTATTAGTATTATTATTTTTGTTTTGTTTTGTTTTTGTCTTTTTGAGACAGGGTCTCCCTGTAGCCCCAGCTGTCCTAGAACTCACTATGTAGACCAGGCTGGCCTCTAACTCACAAAGATCTGCCTGCCTCTGCCTCCCAAGTGCTGGGATTAAAGGCATGCACCACCACGCCTGTCCCCAACAGGAATATTATTAAGCATGAAGAAACAAATAGGCAGCATGGAGTGGGAGGTACACATGGGTACTTAAGAATACCAGTATTAAAAAGAGTCTGATGAGGTTGACTGTGGTGTGTTGGTTAGGAGGAGAGGATTGCTTTGAGTGAAAGCACATTGTTCCCTTTTTTATACTTTATGTTTTTTCTTTTTGAGACAGGGTCTCACGTATTTGAGGGTGTTTTCGAACTCACTATGTAAGTGAGGATGGCCTTGAACTTCTGATTCTACTTACCAAGTGCTGGGTTTATAGGCATGCAGCCATTCCCAGTTTACCATTTATTATGGCTCTCTCTCTCTCTCTCATCATCTATCTAATCTGTCAATCATCTATCTATCTATCTATCTATCTATCTATCTATCTATCTATCTATCTATCTATCATCATCTATCATCTATCTATATCAATTGATGGATTGATCGAGATGGGGATCTCATAATATAGCCCTGGCTAGCCTCGAACTCAGAGAGATCCATCTGCCTCTGCAGCCTTGGTGTCCCAAGTGCTTTTTAAGGTTGTGTGTCACCATGCCCGACTATTTCTTTAATGGAAAAATTGGTTTTTTATTAATATTGTATGTGTATATATGAAATAGATGGGGGCTATATATGCTTCAGAGCGCATGTGGAGGTCAGAGGCCAACTTTGTGGAGTCAGTTCTTTCCTCCCTCCTTTATTATGGTTTCCAGGGATCAGTTTCAGGTCATCATGTTTGTGTGGCAAGCACTTTCACCTGCTCAGCCATCTCTCTGACACACTTTACTTTTTTCAAGGGAGAACTAATTTTACCGGCAAAGAGGTTTTTTTTTTTTTTTTTTTTTTTTTTTCCTTTTGGCCCTGGTGGCCTGAAAAAAGAGGACGATAAATCTTTCACTGTGATATAGGTTTTTTTTTTTTTTTTTTTTTGATCTCCCTGTAGGCCCAGATGGCCTGGAACTTGCTATGTAGACAAGTATGTAGACAAGGCTGGCCTTGATCTCACAGAGATCTGCCTGCCTCTGCTCCCAAGTGCTGAGATTAAAGGTGTGTACCACCATGCCTGGCTGTTTTCTGTTTTATTTTCCATTTTGGAAAATGGAGGTGCCAGCAAGATGGGGCAGTGAGTACAGGCCCCTGCCATCAACCCTGGAGACCTGAGTCCAATTTGGAAAAATGGAGTAAGTCCAGGGGTTCTCTGTGAAAGATGCTCATTCTTCAGTGCTAACCTGAGCTGACATTGACCTTGCTAATTCTTTATGAGGTTACAGTAGAAGGAGTTTTGATTTCTGCTGGAGGTGGGAGTGCTTTGAGGTTTTTCAAGTTTTGTAAAATAATGGTCTTTTAGCTTCTGTTTTTTTTTTTTTCGTTTGTTTGTTTTTTTGTCTTGCTTTGCCTGCCAGGGTGAAATGCCTGGGTAAAATGGTGGTCTGGGCTGTGAAGGCAGAGCCCTCATCCTTCCTGGGTGCTAGTGTGACGAGCCAGCAATTCACTTCCAAACATTTCTGCATGACAGCATGTTTAGAGAGGGTGACTTTTGAAAAAGTTAACCATTTGCTTTGCATTTTTCAAAGTAAAACTGGGGGACAAATGTTAAAAATGTAGATGTTTTGGAATATGGGGATGTCCTCTGTCAATCTTGGACAGGTCACCTAGTATCCCCTAGGATGAGAGGTAGCTGACTTTTGCTGACCATGACCCCCTTTGCTATAAAGGGATACCAGTCTCTGAACATATGAAGAAAGTAAGTTCCAGCAAGGGGAGGAGAGAAGTGGTTCATGTAATATGTATAAAGTATTATGTGCTATGCTTCAGGTCCTGGGTGCTACATCTTTTCGCATGTTGGCCTGGCATGTCCTCATGGGAAACCAGGTGATCTGGAAAAGCAGAGACGTGAATCTTGTCCAGTCAGCATTTGAAGTCCTCCGGGTAAGCACCTTTTTTCCTATGTGCTAATGCTTGACTTTGGGGGGAATATCAAGGTGCACCAACGGTCAGTGCAGAACCTCAGGAGTCAGTTGTCTGTGCCTGGATCTAACACCTGGTGAAAAGGATGGGCATTGGCATTGTTCCTGTGTTATGATTGACAGCTGTTCTATCTGCCCTTTCCCAGCCTGGAATTCCTCTGAGAAGTCACCTGGGCAGGTACTGGCACCTGCTGATACATGGATATTCTCAAGTGGGAGTTGGGGTATAGGATCACCTCACAGCATAGGGGCCTGATGCTTAAGTACTGGGCATGTGCATGCTTGCTGGCTGCCAAGGCCTTTGAGTGCCTCTTGGTGGTGGTGAACATCTGAGCAGGCAAAGAATACTGGATGAGGCAGCACATGCCAGTGTTAAGGGAGACTGACAGCCAGGATCAGAGTTGGGGCCTCTTGGTAGGAAACCACATTTGGGCTGAGGGTCCAAGGACACTCCAAGGTGGGAGGCTGTGAACTAACTGCAGAGGACTCTGCTGTGGTGGGTTCTGAGCCGTCCTGTCTTCCACAGACCATGCTGCCTGTGGGCTGTGTCCGCATCATCCCTTATAGTAGCCAGTACGAGGAGGCCTATCGCTGCAACTTCCTAGGGCTCAGCCCTCCTGTGCCAATCCCTGCCCATGTGCTGGCCTCAGGTGAGTATCTTCTGGGCAACATGCACTGGCTGGTGCTTTAGGAAGCTCCTGCATCCAGCCCAGAGGTGCTCCTGGAGCTGAGTCAAAGATTTGAAGGCAAGACTTGATGTTGTCAGAGGCCCCGTGTGTGCGATCAGCTTGCCTATTGCCTGTGGCCTCCTTTTCTCTACCACAGTAGAGTTGGTCTGGATGATCATAGTAGGGGCAGCTCATGGGGGCCGTGGTTCTCAGTAGGCTGTGTGTCATAGAGATAGAAGTGTGTATCTACCAAGGACAGTAAGGGTATATGCCTGGGGATGGTCATCATTCTGGGATTCAGAAGTCTGGTAGACTCAGGGGTCACAGGACTCCTAAGGTCTATACATCTTTCCTGTTCACCCTTGTCATCCCTTTCCTAACGCTCACATCTTGTTAGTCCTTGTCTGTGTCCTGTCTCCTAACCTCCATTGGTGTGGTTAGGGCTTGCAGTGTATAACCTCACCTCCTGGAGTGCTATGAACTTGTGTCTTGGTCTTAGCTTGGAGATGTGATCCTGGCCTCTTGGGCAAATCATGGCTTCTGGACACATCTACAATAGTCAGTTGACTGCTCTCAGGGGGCAGAGTGTTGGAACACGCCCATCTACTCAGAGCAAGTGCTCCATAGCCCCAAGCAGCACCTATATAGCACCAGGCTGCTCCTGAGCTCCTGGGACAGTGCCTTCTGTTTGTGTTAGAAGCATAGGCTCTGTTAGAAGCACAGGCTGTGCATTCAGAAATGACAGAAATTCCTGTACCACTAGTTGTATGTCTGGCCACTGAACCTGTCCAGGTAGTTACCATCTGTAGGATGGAGTAATAGTGGAACCATTCACAGAGGGCTACTTGGTATAAAGTGAATTGATGTATGCAATCTGTAAACAGTTATTACTGTTCATTAAATGAGTTATTACTAGTTTGAGGCAAAAATTAATCCTTAATTCATAAATAAGCCACAAAAGGTTTTAAGCACCAAAACTCTTGCTCTTGGAAGGCCTTTTCCCTGACAGCATGTATTCCTTGAGGTGGGTTTTGTCATGGGGTTAAGGAACACTTCACAGGATGGTATGTTTTGCATTGCCACAGAATTTGTAGTCATTGTAGAGGTCCACCCAGCCATGCGCTCTAACCTCCTCCCAGTTGGGTGTGAGGATGACCAGTCTCTCAGCAAGTACGAGTTTGTGGTGACCAGTGGGAGCCCTGTGGCTGCAGACCGAGGTGGGTATTGCTGTTGATGTCACAATTCATCAGGGCAGGAGTGGGTACCAGTCCCTCTCCCTTGCCCAGTGCTGATGTCCCCCCTCTATTGTTACCTCCTCCCCAGTTGGGCCCACCATCCTGAATAAGATTGAAGCAGCTCTGATGAACCAGAACCTGTCTGTAGATGTGGTAGATCAGTGCCTCGTCTGCCTCAAGGAAGAGTGGATGAAGTAAGCCCTAGCCTTTCCTTGAGAGCTTTCCTTGCTTTGTGTTGGAAGACTATGGGCTCTCTGGAAAAGCAGAAGCTACTTGCTAAAAAGAGGCCAGGCCCTTGGGGGTCCGTGACCTTGGGAAATGACCTAAAGTCTCCTGCCCTGGATCCTCTGCTCTGGGAGGTGGGGGTGACTATCGGGGGTTGATGCCAGGCTCATGAAAGAGGTTCTGATCAAAGCTATGTTACTTCACTGCCTAATTTTCTTTTGGTCTTGGAGGGGTAGAAGATGCTGGGCATTAGATGCAGGTCCTGTGCATGATAGCCAAACATACTATCACTGGGCCTGTCCTTTAAAAGCAAGTTACTTTTGTTTCCTCATGCCTTGCGTCTTAGTAATTTTTCAGATTAATTTAGCTAGTCAAACATTTTCCTGATTTCAAATAATGCAGTGAAGCTCAGGATTAACATGAATTTAAGGGTAATTCTTTTTTTTTTTTTTTGAGATGGGTTTTTCTGTCACTCAGACTGGCCTTAAACTTCTAGGTGCAAAGAATCCTCCTGCCTCAGCCTTCTGAGTAGCTGAGACTGCAGACACATCTTTTTCTTTGCCATGTTGGTGGGTTGCCCTTCCCCAGGGTGAGACCCTAAGTAGGGATGTTGTGGCTCTGCCCCTTTCCTCTGGGAGAACTCCAGTGGGGCCTGCAGAGTTTTCAGGGGTATGAAAACTGGGTCCTGTGAGTAGAGCTCTTGTGCTTGGGCTGTGGGTCTGAGTTTGTTTTTGTTTTTCTGCAGCAAAGTGAAGGTCCTCTTTAAGTTCACCAAGGTTGACAGTCGCCCCAAGGAGGACACGCAGAAGCTCCTGAGTGTCCTCGGTGCATCAGAAGAGGACAATGTCAAGCTGCTGAAGTTCTGGATGACGGGCCTGAGCAAAACCTACAAGTCACACCTCATGTCCACAGTCCGCAGCCCCACGGCCTCAGAGTCTCGTAATTGACTCTGAGAGCACCTTCTGGAACATGGTGTGTGGTGCACAGTCATTGCAGATCTGTGAGAAGGACTGCTATTGAGATTCTGACTGCTGGGATGAGCTGTGTCCTAGGAATGAAGGCTGCGGGGCTGGGCTCTTCTTCCTTGTCGGGCTCTGTGGCATCTCAAAGCTGTTGAAAGGTGGCAGAGACAGAGACAAGTGTTCCCTCTGTACCATACTGCCCTGTCAAGGGACTGTCAGAACTTGCTTTTGCCTCTTGAAGACAAAGGCTTGGAACTGACAGGGTCAGGCCAGTCTTGACTGCAGCAGTGTGCCGTCTCAGGGCTAACAGCCAACCTTTCCACCATGAAGGTCTGCAAGTGTCCTGGACCAGCTGTGTTTCTGTCTTCATGAACTCCTAAGCCATGCGCCCACCCATGGTCTCTGCTCATCTGTTTTTGAGTTAGGGCTCTGTAAAGGCTCTTGGGGGTGAAGTGGCAGTTTTCCTTGACTTTGAGTCCTCTGAAGTTCATATTCTGAGGTGGTATTGCTTGTCCAGTGGTCATTGTCTCCAGGGGCTGACCGTGAGGTTAACCCTCAGCTGTATGGTGGCGCTTCTGGTCCCTAAGAAAGACCAGGCTTTGCTAGAGCATCTCTTCTGTTATGTTTCCACTTGCCAACTTGTGGAGGCAGTGAAACAAAACCCATGACATTTTTTGAGACAAGATCTTATTCTGTAGCTTAGGCTGGCTATAGAATACCTACACTTTAACCTTGTGGCCCAGGCTGGTCTCAGACTTGAAATGATCTTCCTGCCTCAGCTTCCCAAGTGCTGGGATGACAGGCCTGAGCCCTGATACCCAGCCCCCAACCATGACTATATGTTGCCTTCTTCTCTATTGCTGCTTTCAGCATTAACCTGTGGCCACAGAGTGTGACAGTCTGAGACAGATCCATCACCCCACCATACAGTTTTAATAAATATTTTTGTTCCTTTAATTTATATTTAACATGAAGACCAAGCTTATGTGTCTTGGTTCTGTTCATGCAAGAACATTGAAACATAATAAATCGGTATTTTTATAAATCGATGACTATGTGGTTTTATGTTTGTATTTATGTTAGTATCTCCATCAAGAAGATGTAGTTGTGCACCACTGTATACCAGTGTCACTGATGGAGGAGTCATAGGGCATACTTAAGTAGACTCCAACAGTTCAGAGACTGGATAATAGGCTCTTACGTGGCCTGTTACATATGTGGTCCATTGCTGACCAAAAGCTGTTACATAGCACATGGTTAAAATGACATCAGTGAGTGGCCAGTATTCAATGGCAGGAAAGTTTAAGCCACTGAGGTTATACCTTGGACTGTCTTCTCCAAGTTACTCTGGAGTTGGAGTGGAAAGCACACATGTGGCATCTCTAGCCCGTGCACCTAACATTTTGTCCTACTTCAGGAAATGGCTAAGCCCCTACGAATTAAGACAGACTGCCAGAAGCCCCAGTGAGAGTGCATTCGGTCTTAGAAGTGGAAGGTCTGTGCCTGGCCATCTCACCAGAGTGGGAAGGATCCTGGGTCTGGGAAGTCCTGGATAAATGAAGGGAAGGGAGGGGAAGTCTGTCTGCTGTCTTCAAAGCTTCAGGTATGAGGCCTTGTTTTTCTCGTATATAAAGTTCCTTTTAACACTGTCCTCCCCTCAAAAGGGCTCTTGCCAGTTTTCTGCTGGTCCAGTGGCTAAGGCTTTTTGTAAGTACGAGCCTGACTTGAGGTGGCTCTGTATTCATTTCACAGGAAGGAATGTGCTGTGCATCTAGCAGATAGTAAAACTTGCTGCGTGAATGTGCATAAAGGATAGGGTGCCAAGTGTAGGCTTGCTTCTCCCAAAAACAGTGTGACTCTAGGGTGAGGTGTGTGATCTCAGCATGTCTAGGCTATGATGTTTGGAAGGTTAGGTGTCTTAAGTGCTTTCTCACTTGTAATATTTTCTTAATGAGCATATCAGATGTTACTCCATCCTAAGTCAAGGAGTATTGGACACCCAGAAGAAGGATGGCAGGATAGACTTTAATTTTTCTATTGAAATTTTGTTTGCTGACTTGCTGTTGTGTTTTCCTTTAATTCTTGGAAGTTAGTAAGAACTTACTTTTAGAAGTCTTTGTTAAATACTGCACTTGGGCCCAAAGAATTTCTCTTGGCTGTTGCTTTCCCCACATTTGGGTCACATTTTCTTTTTGCTTTCCATGCTCAGTAAGCTTTGGTTGGAAGCTAGATATACGATAATAATTCTGAGTCCTGTCATACTATTAGAAGGTTTTCATTTGGCACCTTCCCTAGCCTTAAGCTACAGTGTGTGGCCACTAGGAGCTTTGTTCAGTCATTCTTGTGCCTGCCTATGTTCTAGCCTGTCTTCCTAACTTACTGATCAGTTAAGGATTTTGAAGTTAGTTGCACTCAACACTGAAGTCTGCATGCCTTCCTTGACCTCAAGATCTGCTCCTGGCTAGAGGCCTTTGCAGCCTCCATGGCCACTCTCCCTGGGCCTGCCTCATAATCTCCTATCATAGAACAGTTCCTCCTTTATCTCTGAGTCCTGCCTATTACTATACATGAAAATCCAGGCTGTGTGGCTGGAAAAAGAGTTTATGTTGGGTATGGCTTTGGAGGTGCAAAGTTGAAGGGCATGGTTTGGTGATGGTTAGAGGGTATGCCATGGCAAGACTGACGTACATGCATATCTTCTCAGAAAACAGGATTTGGTCATTGGTTCCGTGAAATCCTAATCATACCCTAAAGGTCCCCTCTGTAAACACCAGAGTCAGATCATGTGTCCGTGTTTCAGTCTTACCAAACCACAGTCCTTGTGGCTCTGACTTCTGGGCTTTCCCTACTGCATTTCTGTTGGTTTCTCAACCCAGCTTGCACTCCTGTTTCTGGTTTACACTTCCTAGAACCCTATAAATGGAATGTTGTGTGTGCTATTTTTGTTTGGCTTTTTCTACTTGGCATAACAAACTCATCTGTTTTGGCACATTGTTCCTTAGCATGGCTAGTCAGTTTCTACGCAGAGATAGACAAAAGTATGTCCTTTCTGATCTGAGGTAACACAAACAAACCTGGCATGAGCTTTTGTGTGTAATGTTTTGTGAGTGTATTTGTTTCTTTTGATTTATAACCAGAAGTGGGGTAGTCAGAGCCTATTGAAAGTATACATTTACATTTAATTTGGAATAACTTTAGATTTCCAAAGAAGTCAAAGATAGAAGAGAGTTCTATATACCCTCACTCAGTTTTCCTTGTTAGCATCTTATTACCACTACACAGCTTCCAAAGCTCAGAAGTGACCCTAGGCAGCACATCCTATAGGGTCAGCACATCCTGGCTTTTGTTACAGGTGTCTGGTTGTGTCAGTTCCCCAACTAACAGCTTCCATCTATTCTAGCATCTGGCCCAGAGTGCTGCACTGTCTTGAATTTTCACATCTTCTTAGCTCCTCTGGTTTGTGACAACTTTTCAGTCTTTCCAGTTTTTTTTTTTAATATTTATTATTTTTATTTTATGTGTATGCGTGTATTGCCTGCAGGTAGGTAAGTGCACCTATGTTGTGCAATGCCTGTGGAGGTCAGAAGAAATTGTCGGATCCCCTGGGACTGGAGTTATGGACAGTTATTAGCTGCCATGTGGGTGCTTGGATTTGAACCCAGGTCTTCTGCAAGAACAGCTGGTGCTCTTAACTGCTGAGCCATCTCTCCAGGACCCTTTCCTGATTTTTTTATAGAATGCTGGCCAGGTATCCTGTACAGGTATTGTGACTGAATTGACTTTGTGGGCTTGGGAAGGATCCCATGGAGATAAAGGGCTTTCTGCTTGCATCTCATCAGGGGTGTGTGACTTTTACCATAGCTCTAGATGTGATGGGTTACTTCTGATATGACCCTCACTTGGGAGGGAGGGGTGGCCTGCCAGGTGTCCCCATTGCACAATCACATTTCCTTCTTTCCTTTCTCTGCTGCTCAGGCTGTACCTCTCCCAGGGGGAGGCGCTACATGTATTTTGTAGCTACATGCCTTTTTTTGCATGTAATTCACATTTATTTTAGTATATTTTGTTTCAAATATATAGAAAAATAGACAAAAATTTAATGACTATCTTTTTTTGCCTTCCCTCAACATCCCCAACAAATGTTTAATGTTATAGACAGTCCCAATGATTTATTCATGGCTAGTCTTGTTTTATCTTTTACTTTCCCCAATTCAGGAGTATATAATTTTGTAATTTTTACAGATATAAGACTTTTGGCCATTTACTTCATCTTTGCTAAACAAGGATACCTTTTAAGAGCTTTGTGTTTTAAAGATTCCCAATAAGTTACTGAACAGTAACATTCTTTTTAAAAATATTTTATTCGCTATTTTTATTTTGTGTGTATGAGTGTACTGCCTGCATGCATGCAAGTGCACCATGTCATGCAATGCCGTGGAGGTGAAGAGGGCATCGGATTCCCTGGAACTGGAGTTAAGGATAGTTCATAGCTGCCATGTGGGTACTAGGAATCAAACCTGGATCCTCTGCAAGAGCAGTCAGTACTCCCAACTGCTAAGCCATCTCTCCAGCCCCATGAACAGAAATGTTCTTTAAAAAAATTTTTTATTGAATTTTTGCAATTTCCATGAAATAGAATTTGATAGTATTTAGAGCCTCTCCCCTATCCTCACCTACCCTTATATCCCACCCCCGGGGGGCTCAATTTAATATACTCTATTACGTATATAATATGGCCTGTAGAATCTGATTTGTGTCTCCAAATGTTGTTCACTGTGGGTCCATCCACTAGAGCCTGGTTCACCTACCAAGAGTTCCATCCCTGTAAGAGACCGTCACTTCTTCTAGCAGCCATCAGTTGCCAAAAGTTCCTTATGTTGGGTTGGGATTTCTTACCACTTCCCCATTGTCTAGGCAGGAGTTTAGTCTGGTTTGAACTTGCATGAGACTTGTGCATGCTGTCCCCATTGACGTGAATTCATGTAACTGACCAGCTGTCTGGAAAACTGTTTCCTTGTGGTCATCTACCATCTCTGGCTCTTACAATCTTTCTGTCTCCTGTTTTGCAATGATCCCTGAGCCTTGGGAGGCAGCAGTTTGAAATAGGTGTCCTACTCAGGGATAAGCACTCTGCAGCCTCTTATTCTCTGCACATTGGCCAGTTGTGAGATTCTATGTTAATCGCCATCTGCTGCATAAGAGAACTTCTCTGGTGAGAGTTGAGACATGCATTCATGTTATGTGTAGAGGTTGCATTGAAGATGTGTCACTTAGGGCTAAGAATCTCAGACACTTATTCTCTGCATGTGACCAGTTGTGGAACTCTGTAATAGTCTCCATCTATTGAAAAAAGAAGCTTCTTTAATGAGTGGTGAAAGGTGCACTTGTCTGCAAATATGAGGATACATACTTAGAATATAGTAAGAAATTACACTGGCCTAGGAATCTGGCAAAAGTAGGTTTTTCTTTAGGATCTGTGACCTCTCCAGCCATGTGTTTTTGGTGGTTTATAGTACCATACATAGTACCCTCCCATTGAGTGGGCCTTAATTCCAATTAGACAGCTGTTGATTAGCTTTAGAGCCTTAGATGTGAGTATATATTCCGATGTAACTGCTGGAGCCAGGAAAGTGGAAAAGAACCATGAGGGTAAAGGGAAGGAAGGAGCTTGAGAGAGGGGAATAGTGGGAGACAGTATTATAGAGGGGGAAGTGGGGAAAAGGAGGGGGTGCTTTAACTGGAGAGGGAATAGTGAGGGTTATATGGGGGAGTGAGTGAGAGGAGAGATAGATTATGCTTAGATGGTGTGAAAAACCAGAGGGAAATGTATTAGTTCAAAATCCTACTGAAAAATTATATATGTATATATAATAAAATATATATAAATATACATATATATGAAATATGTGCATGTGTATAGCTGAAGGCTCTATAACAAAAAACAGTGTCAGGCATGAGAAACCTTTGTTGGTCAGGGTAGTCCAAGAGACTTCCAAAATAAACAGGGTATTGCCACAGCCCTTGATTGCCCCCAGAATCTGAAGGTAAGACCCTACTGCTGAAGACAGGACATATTTCAGACACAGGATTTGAAACAGTGGAGCTGGAACTGACCTGGATGCTTCCTCCCTGAAGACTAGCTCTCCTTGTACCAGAGGATACTATATAAGCTGCCAGGAAAGAAAACCAATCAATGGTCCTACCCAGCTGTAAAGCCTAATAAACAAGTGACTGGCCCAGCAAACTATCACTGTTGGTGCAGTAGTGGCACTTTTATCTTGGTGGTAATCAGCTAATTGGAATTAAGGCTACATGTCTTCTGTAACCAACACTTCTCCATGACATGCATTTCTGGATTCAATGATTTACTTGTGCCAATATGGACCCCATGTGCTATTTTAGATTCAAGCTCTAATCCAGGACAGCCTCCTTTTGCTGGTGTTGCTCCTGTGTCTTGGAATACACTAAATCCTGGCAGCCAGAAACTGCTTCCTTCCTTAACCTTACGGCAGAGGGCCCCATGCCTCTCATTGTCCCTGCCCAGCTATAGAGTGGCCATTCTTTTTTCTTAAATACTACTTTTAATGTGTGTGTTTTGCTTGTATGTAAGTGTAATGCCTGCAGAGGCCAGAAGGGGGCGTCGGATCTCCTGGAACTGGAGTTATGAATAATTGTTAGCTGTCATGTGGGTGCAGAGTTACTCAGCCTTCCTTCCTTTTCTAAGCATGGCTCCCCCTGGCTAGTGGCCACTTACCTCTCCTGGGCAGCCATGTACAGACCTTGCATTTCCAGAAAGGCCAGCCAATTCCCTGGGAAGGTCATTCACCCTGGAGTACCATGTTTGCCTGCATTTCCTCTGGCCTTTGACTTTCCAGATGGAGATCAGCATTCCATCCCTGTTTTCACAGTTCACCTTGATGACCCACCCTCAGTAGAACGTTGCAGATGCTTGTGGAGTGACTGGCAGTCTGCCAGCTGGACAAATTCCCTACTGCAACTCAGAACAAGAAATCTGAAGGAGTCTTCACTTGCTCTCACGTTTCTCTCAGCGAAAGGCAGGCCTGGTGCCAGTTGAGTTGCCCAGGATTGGTCTCCACACTGTTGAAATTGGAGGGGGCGGGAGACAGTGGTCTAATAATGTGGCCATGTTATGTGGAGGTATCCAGTTTCCTCTGGTCTCAACCCAGTAGCAATTTTTGGTTCTGTTATGAAAAAGAATTTAAGTGGCACACAGTAACAGTTCGTGCAGTCAAGAATTTAATTAGCACAGGCAAGGAAGCAAGAAGAATACACTCTAGAAAACCTAGGCCTAGCCCAGCTGCAGTGGCCTTGACCCTGATAGGTTTGGGGCTTAGATGTCTCTGCTCCCTATCATCCCTAGCCCTCTGCCTCTCCTAGGGTGAGCACTTTTAGGAAGGGGTCATATTCTCAGAAGCCCCTTTTACCCAGAATTCAGTCTATTCAAGTAGATGTATAAGATGCAAGAAAATGTGTTTACCGGTTTAAGTATTCCAGAGTTCAAAAATTAACTGGGAGAGAGTAGCAGTAGTACTTTGCTTGCTCCCTTGAAGAGAAGAGTTCCTAGTTTAAAAAAATGTTTTCTACACTTATTTTTGGGGGGGTGGGGCACATGCCACAGCACAGGGGTAGAGATCAGAGGATAACTTTCAGGCGTAGGCTCCAACCATCAGGTGGATTCTAGGGACTGAACTCAGGTCATCAGGCTTGGAACCACACACACACAGTTTATTTGCTGAGCCACTCAACTGACCCCTCAACCCATCATTTTTTACATCCGGGTTTTGAGGTTCCTAGCTGGCCCATGTGGAGCTGACCACCGCGCCAGCACCACCATTATCCTTACACCCTGTTTTAAGGCTTTGAGTTGGTCCACCTCTTTCCTCTACGCTTAAGTTTGGTCGTTACCTTCCAGAGCTTACTACGCCCCCGCCCCCCGCCCCCCGCCATGATCAGCCTCTTGCTGATCATGGACTCCCTGACATTCTCTGTGCTTCCAGACTCTTCCCTGAACGCTACTCAAGCTGCTTCCAACAAGGTGTGCCCCGAGAATGCCTCTAGTAGCTTGGTGCCAGGGAAGTCAAGGGTCAGGCCTGGCCGCAGGTAGAGCCGCTGGCGAGTAGTTTTGGGGGGTGGTCCTTGTATGAGGTCCCTGACCTATGACGTACCTAGGGCGTGGCCCCCACGAAGCTGGCTCACCGCCTGACTTCTGGTGGGCGGGCGGGAGCGCGTCGGGGGGCGCACGTGGAAGGGTGGGCGGGGTCTGGTACGTGGTGGGCGTGCATGCGCGGCGCTCAGGCCTTTGAGGTGGGGTCTATGGGGTGCTCGAGGTGGCGGTTGGTGGCCTTGGCTGGCGCGGGCGTCGCCCTGGCTCTGGAGGCCCTTCCCTGGTTGGTCCGCTGGTTGCTGGCCGGGCAGCAGCCGCGGCGCGAGGTGCTGTTCTTCCCTTCGCAGGTGACCTGCACCGAGGCTGTGCTGCAGGCCCCGGGTGCGGCGCCCGGTCCTGCGTCGGGCTGCCAGTGCAGCCTTCCGCACGGCGAGAGCTCGCTGAGCCGCCTGCTGCGCGCGCTGCTGGCCGCCCGCTCCAGCCTGGAGCTCTGCCTCTTTGCCTTCTCCAGTCCACAGCTGGGGCGCGCCGTGCAGCTGCTACACCAGCGCGGGGTGCGTGTCCGGGTCATCACCGACTGTGACTACATGGCCCTCAACGGCTCTCAGATTGGCCTGCTGCGCAAGTCAGGTAAACTGTCACTGAAGGCGGACACTGGCGGAGGGCCTAGTTGGCCCAGACCTTACTTATTTGAACTTATTTTTATTTTGTGTATGAGTGTTTTGCCTGCATATATGTAAGTGAACCCTTGTGCAAAGCCCTCAGAGGCCAAAAGAGGGCACCGGAGCCCCTGGAACTGGAGTTATGGCCGTTGTCAGCCATCATGTGGTTGTTGGGAACTAAACCTGGGTTCTCTGGATGCTGAGTCATCTCTCCAGCCCCCTGCCCGGATCTTGTTGATGTCCCTTGGTGGCCTGATGAGAGCAGAGTAGCTTTCTAGGGAGAAGGTGGAGGCAGCTAGGCAGGCACAGGTAAGCAGGCCTAGGAGCCACACTTTGCAGACCATTTTATGTACCCCAGGAGAGAAAAGTGGTGGTGGTGGGGGATATGATTCCCACCTGGCTCCAGCCTTGACCTTGGGAGAAGTGGGTGTGGCCCCACTCAATAGTTTCTATGACTGTTGAATGCTGAGATGAAGATGGCCAGCAGGACTGACACTGAAGGCAAAGCTTAAATCCACCTGTGCCTAACCACTGGCAGCCAGTGAGCCACCCTCAGCTGCCTGTTTCCACGGGGGAGCCACAGAGTGACCCTGCTGCTGTCAGTGACTAGTGAGTCTCCTATAAGGCTTCCCGATCACAGTTAAAGTAGACCCCACACGGTGGTTGAACACTTCTCAGCTGCAAACTTTGGACTCAGCTGCCACTCTTCCCAGACAAGAGGAGTGACCCCTATCCTCTGCCCTGTGGTCTTCAAGTGGAGGGCACTGCAAGAGTGTAAACTCTCGGTGCTTCATCCCTCAGGCACCCAGGAAAGCATGCCTGCCTAACCTGGTCATTGTGGTGTATACATGACTGACAGGTATGGGGAACCTCTATACCTGGGAAGTGTCCAAGATTTCTGGGTGCTCTTGAGTGCCATACAGCTTGGCTTCACACTGCCCTAGGATGGTGGAGCCTCTAGAAGCCAGGCTTGCTACAGGCAGATTTGTGTGAAGGGCATCATAGCAATAGCCTGTTGTGCAGTACCCACATGGGCAGGGTGGAAGCACTGGTCAGTCTGACAGGTTTCTCCCAGCAATCAAGAGTTGTCCTCAGTCTGAAGGTCGTTTTGATGGGTGGACATGTGGATATCCTCAGGCGTGGATGGTGTTATTGTTTAGCTTTTGGAGAATCATAAAACCTCAGGTTGGAAAGAACTAAATTCTCATCACAAATGAAACGCCCACTGATGTCTTGGCCACATCTGGGTGAGTTCCAAATTGTCCATGGGATTCATCTATCAGCAAGTGCACTGTGTCAGTTCTTGATACAGCCAGGTCCTTCTGGGGAAATGCACAAATCAGAAGGGTCTGGAATACTAAACGAAGGCGATCATATAGGAAGTGTGATGGCTAGGATAGCTGAGACCATGTGACTGTTCAAGTGGATGGGGAAGTATCTAGAACAGTAGGTATGCTGTACCTGAGTAATGAACTAACTGCCAAGGAGTAGTAAGAGGCCCTCTGTAGTCAAGAGTGAGTTGTAGTAGAGGTGTGCTGCCAGGCCTCGTGAAGAGAGTAAGAGGTGGGCAGAGTGGGACAAAAAGCAGGAGTGAAGGAAAGCAGCAGGAGTATAGTATTTGCCTAGCATCCTTGCCAAGCATGTTTTCATCAGTTTTGGTGACGGCAGCAGGCTCAGATGTGACACAGTTCCTTTCCTGTCAGCTAGTGAAGCCAGCTAGTTGGCCAGATAAAGCCAGGCTGCACTCATCCCCTGCCTAGGCTTCTGTCCTCTTCAGCTTGCCCATTCCTGTGATTGAGAGGAAAGGCAAGGGTATGCCTCACTCACACCATTCTACCCCTTAGCCTTGTAGGAGCAGTGTGTGGGGGTAGAGTAGGGGGGCAGCTTACACTGACTTCAAGCTTAGTGGGGCTGGTTTCCTAGAGTGTGAGGTAACCCCAACCCCTGCTGTCTGTGCTCTTCAGGACAGCCCCTTGTGTCTGACTCTAGATGGACTCCACCTTCTCCCTGCAATCTCAGGACCACCCTAGGACTGTCCCTGGGTTCCCTGCTCCAGCCAGGGCATTGTAGCAATTTGAATAAGCTGGGGGATGGCTGCACCCAGGTGAGAGGTGGTGGTATAAATGAAGGCTGCCTTGGCTCTACAGGTATCCAGGTGCGGCATGACCAGGACCTAGGCTATATGCACCACAAGTTCGCCATTGTGGACAAGAAGGTGCTCATCACTGGCTCCCTCAATTGGACCACGCAAGCCATACAGAACAACCGAGAGAATGTCCTGATCATGGAGGATGCTGAGTATGTACGGCTGTTTCTGGAGGAGTTTGAACGCATCTGGGAGGAGTTTGACCCCACCAAGTACAGCTTTTTCCCCCAGAAGCAGCGAGGTTACTGACCCTGCTTTGTCTTCAACCCTTGGCCAGACCCTGTGATATTCCCTCCCCTTTTACCCCAGAAACAGCAACGTCACTGACTCTGCTTTGTCCTTCTCAATCCTTTGGCCTGACCCTGTGATATTCCTTCCCTTTTTTGGACCAGCCTTTCCTGACTGGCAGGCTGCAGTCTTGGGCTCACTGGGGCTGAACATTGTGTTCCTTGCTTTACCACCCTAAAGGTGGTAAAAGTGTAGTGGTATAGGCAGTGCTGTGAACCATCTTAGAGGGGTTGACAAGACAGGTAGGTCATCCTCTTAAGTAGCATCCTGGGATCATTAAAACAGACCTGCCTGATGGTGTTGACCTTCTGTAGTTGTCCTTCCGTCTTGTAGTATTGTGGCAGTCACTGGTGAGGATTACAGGTAGCCATAAGCTGCATCTGTGTCTAGGTTTTGCTTTTAATTTTAAACATCCCTCATATTCAGGGCAATCCTATGTATTTAGAAGTAACCTCACCTTTAGCACCACAGACTCTGTATTTGATCAGTGGCTTTCTGCTCACTGTAGTGGAGCAGGAATTGCTGCCAAAGGGTGTGTAGAAGGTGAACGGAGCTCCCAGGCTGTGGTTTCAGCTCTGGAGTGAGTGGGCATTCACAGGGAGTTAGAGGAACATGTTTCTCATATGCATTTGCAAATGTTTCAAATAATCTTTTCTGTTGTTCATCTTATACGTAGGTAGCTCAAGTGATACCAGAGCTATCATTTTGTCATTGCTTATGCTTGTGTGCATGACAAGCTCTGTGTGGCTTCTTAGGGTTCAATCTGAGTGAATGAAGGTCTCCTTCCACAGCTCATGCCAACATTATCACCAGAGACTGCTCAGTGCGTGTATGTTCTACCTTTTGAATGCCACTATACCTTTGATGTAGTGTTAGTCAAGTAAATTTAATGTTGACTTTCTAAAAGATTCAACAGAAACTGTAAAGTGTAATATATCTAGAAGAGTTTGTGCTGGTTGAGTTCCCTCCTGTCTGGAGTCGGTGAACCCCCCCAGTGTATTCTGAAGAGAGCAAGGGGGTAGGGATCACCGTGTCCTTAAGTGATTATACCTTTGGGGACCCTGGACTTCTAGCATATTTCAATAAACATTCTTATTTTAGAATATGAACTGCTCTATGTTTGGCTTAACCTGCTACATTTAAATATGGCTATTCTTTATTAAAGCATCTAATAGTATACAGCTATTTCAACACTAGTGAGGAAGACAGGAGCCTTTGGCAGAGCAGTACACTATAAGTAGCAGGCATCGCCAAATTAGCATGTTTTCCACACATGGCAGCTTCTCTGGCCCTATTTCCAGTCTGCCAAGGCAGAAGCATGATTCCTAGACATTTCCTCTCTGCCATCTGTCTGACCTAGTATGATGTGTGCATGTCTAGAGTCAGAGTGTGGTCATAAGGCTCCTCCACACCTGCCCCCATCCCTTCTGGAGCAGGCAGGTGTCCACATGGCCGCATGTGCTCCTCAGCTCAGCTATTCTTAGCTATAGGAGTGCATGAATTCAGACTTTCTTTTCTCTTTCATCATCTTGAAGTTGAATCCCTGGAAAGAGCTTGTAGAAAGTTAAATATCCCTTGAGAAAATGTGCTACTAAAATCTCCCTCAAAAAGTGGAGGTTCTTGGCCTGGGGAGGTGGCTCAGCAGTTAAGAACACTGGTTTTCTTGCAGAGGACTCAGGTTCAGTTCCCAGCACGCACATGGTCACTAATAATCCATAGCTCCAGCTCTGGGCAATTCGATCTCTTCTTCTGGCCTCTACAGGTGACACAGGTGTACTTACATACATGTAGGCAAATTACTCATACACCTTAAAAAAAAAAGTGGAGGTTCCTTTTCTCTACCCAGTTTTCCTTGGCTGTGGTACCAATGCCTCTGAGCCAGAGTAGCACAGGGCCACGCACCCTCAGAGTGTGGCAGGCTGATCAAGCAGACCAGTGGGCATGAATGCACTGTAGAGTGCCAGTGGGGTCTGTTTAGGGCACTATTCCAGTGACTGACAGGCAGGTGAAGGAGGGGAAGGGCTGGGTTCTGCTCCAACATACCCTAGGCAGGTGATACTAGACCCCATATGGAAAAGGCTAGGGATGTTACTTGGGCTTCCCTATTTTTGAAAAAAATTACATTTGTATGTGGACATGCACTTGTGCCACCATGCACATGATGTGAGAAGACAACTTTTGGGAGTTGGTTCTCTCCTGCTTGTGGCTTGAGGTAGTGGTGGTGGTGTGTGTGTCAGGGTTTGCGGCAAGGCCCAAACTGTATTAGCCCCTGTATTCAAAATTATTTTTTCCTCTAGAGAAACACGCAATGAGTAGACTTGATAGTTTCCTCATGAGCATCTAAGAAATCTCCACCTGCCCATTATCAGCTTAGTGGTTAGGGTTATTGTTTTCCCATTTGGTTTTTTGACAGTGTTTCATGTAGTCCAGGCTGACCTCAAACTCACTATATACCTGAGGCTGGCCTGGAACTTGTTCCTCCAGGTGGATATCCACTCACTCCAGCATGATTAAGATGACTTTCCCTCCAATGAATGATATTGACACCTTTGTTGAAAATCAATTGACTATTAATTTAATGGCCTATTTCTGGCTCTGCATTGTTCCACTGTGGTAATGCCAGCATCACTGTTAACAAGTATAACAATAACAGCAGTAGTATGTTTTGGAAACCTGGTGGCATGTCTTCATTTCCAATGATTTTGACATTCTGGATCCCTTACATCTCCACATGAACCTTTTTTAACTTTAAAAAGAATTTATTTTGGACTGGGTGTGGTGGTACATGCCTTTAATCCCAGCACTTGGAAGGCAGAGGCACAGGGATCTCAGAGTTCGAGACCAGCTTGGTCTAACAGTGAGTTCCAGGCTAGGCTGGGGCTACAGGGAGTCCCTGTCTCAAAAAGACCCAGCCAAAAAAAATTTTTTTATGTTTGAGTGTTATGCCTGCATGTATGTAGGTGCACCCGTGTCATGCAGGACCGAGGTAGAAGAGGGCACTGGATCGCATGGAACTGTAGTTAACTATCGGTTGTTAGCTGCTATGTGGGTGCTGGGATTCAAACCTGGGTTCTCTGCAAGAACAGCCTGTGCTTTAACCCGAGGCATCTCTCCAGCCCCTCCATATGAATCTTAAGATTAGCTAATCAATTTCTGCCAAAAAAATAAAAACAGCTAGGATTTTGGTAGGGGTTCTGTTGAATCTGTAGATCATGTTGAGTATTACCATCTCAAAATTTCAAATCTGAGAACCTGGGTGAACATGGTTTCTATTTATTTGTATTTTTAATTTTTTCAGTATTTGTAGTTTTTATGATTTATTACTCATGTTTTTGTAAATGGACTTCCTTAATTTGCTTCTCCCTTTGTATCTGTAGAAATACAACTCAGTGCTGTATCCTAATCTTGCTGAACTTAGTAGTGCTAACAATAAGTACACATCATTTACAAGACAATTTAGTGCTAAGTGTGGTAGTGCCTGCCTTCAGACCCAGCACCTGGGAGGCAGAGGTGGCAGATCTCTGATCTCTGAGTTCTAGGCCAACCAGAGCTACACAGCAAGACCTTATCTCAAAAACAAAACAAAAAGTGTTACTTCTTCCCTTTTATGCCTCTTATTTTCTTTTCTTTCTTTTTTTTTTCTTTTTGAGATAAACTCTCACTGTTTAGTGCTGGCTGGCCTGGAACCCACTGAAATCTACCTCCTTCTGCCTCCTGGGTCCTGGTATTAGAGATGTTTGCCACCACTCAGCTTATTTTTCTCACTGAACTGCTCAGGGTAGACCTTTGTGCAGCACTGAATTTAAGTGGTGAAAGCAGTGTCCTTGGTGAAATCCTGATCTTAGGGAAATGGCAAGTGTGGTCAGCTATGGGTTTTAAGAATGGCCTTTATTATACTGTGGAGTTCTCTTCTGTTCCTGATTGCTTAAAAAATTTTTAAAAATGTTCAATGGATTTTAAGTTGCACTTACACAGCTTTAAAGAAAACAGAATGTGTTTAAACTACAGAACACATCGGGTCAGTGCTCCAAAGCTTTTGGGTGTACAGTTGATTATAATAATTTTTTTAAAAAATACTTTTTTAATTATTATTTTTTGGTCTTTTTGAGACAGGGTCTCCCTGTAGCCCCAGCTGACCTGGAACTCACTATGTAGACCAGGCTGGCCTCGAACTCAGAGATCCACCTGCCTCTGCCTCCCAAGTTGCTGGGATTAAAGGTGCGTGCCACCATGCCTGGCTTATTTTTATTTTATGTGTATGAGTGTATTGTCTGCATGTATATGAGTGCACCCGTGTCATACAATGCCACGGAGGTCAGAAGAGGGCTTCGGATTCCCCTGGAACTGGAGTTCAGGACAGTTTGTGGCTGCCATGTGGGTGCTGGGATTCAAACTTGGGTCCTCTGCAAGAGCAGTCAGTGCTCTTAACCGCTGAGCCATCTCTCCAGCCCGATTACAATAATTTTTAATGGACAAAAAGCTACAGAAAAATCCCTACATAATTGGAATAACACACATATTTAAAAATATATCTTTAAAAAGTTTGTATGTATGAGTGAGTGCATTGCCTGCCTGTAAGTGCACCTGTGTGTGCAATGCCAGAAGAGGGCACTGGATCCCCTGGAATGGGAGTTACAGAAGTTTGTTAGCTGCCATGTGAGTCCTGGGAACTGAATCTATGACCTCTACAAGAGTAGCCAGTGCTCTTAACTGCAGAGTCATCTCTCTCAGCACCCCCATCTATCCTTTTATGTTTTTGATTTGCTGTTTTTAAAAAAATATTTTTATTTTATGTGTATGAGTATACTGCCTGCATATATGTGAGTACACCCATGTTGTGCAATGCTGCGGAGGTCAGAAGAGGGCTTCAGATTCCCCTGGAACTGGAGTTAACGATGATTCATAGCTGCCATGTGGGTGCTGCGAACCAAACCCAGGTCCTCTGCAAGAGCAGTCAGTACTCTTAACCGCTGAGCCATCTCTCCAGCCCGATTTGCTGTTTTTTAAACTTAACTTGGTTTCTAATTTGAAGAGATTAATTTTTTTCTAAATAAAAGTTCGTATTCTCATATAGTAATTGTCACATAATTTTATTACAAAGGTGGCAACAATATTGAGAAAAAAAATCAGCCCACTATTATTTTACCTTTTGGGAGAGGGGATTAGGGCCTTGCTGTGTAGTCCAGGCTGGCCTCAAACTCTCAATTCTCTTGCCTCAGCCTCTCTAGGGCTGGGATTAAATCAAGCTTATTTCCTTATACTCTTAATTTTCCTGCCTTAGTTTTTCTTTGTAGGAATCACAAAGTTGGCAGCCATCTTGCCTAGCCCAGTTTATTATTCTAAATTTATTCAACCAGAGCTATAAAACATGAACTGGAGCATCAAGAATATATTGTAGTAAGAGAACACTGTTTTGCTAAATTTATTTTGTATATGATATAGAATGCATTTTCTTTTTTTAACAAAAGGCATTTTATCGCAAGTAGGAAGGCCAGGCCAGATGTAGTGGTGCACACTGTTACTCAATCAGCTACAGAGGATGAGGCCAGCTTTAGCTATATTTCACAGCTCAGGTGCAACTCATATATGGATTGTTAAAGCATGCATTGAGGCCCTAGGCTCCATCCAGCACCACAAAAATAAAAACACAGGAGAGCTACAAGAAGAAGGTCATAGTATCTTGATTAACAAAGGGATCACTATCAGTATTTCCTACTATTCTTACCCTAGAGTTTCTATACCAAGTCAATGTGCCTTAGATTCTAGGTGTAAAATATTCATTATGGCTTGAGTAATATCTTTTAATGTGAAATCTAATGTAAATATGCTGAAGATGAATCCAAAACTCTGAGAAACACTGTAAAAAGGAAAAAAGCAGGTTATAAAACTTAAAACAAAACCCAACCTACTCTCATCTCTAGACCGCTGGTTAGTTTGTGACTTGACTTTAGGTCCTGGTCTGCACCTAGTCAACATGTATATGCAGTGTGCAAAAAGCAGTGCAAAAATGGCCTATTATGATACAGTTCATGTAAAATCAGGCAGTAGTCAGAGAATTAACACTGGACTCTAGCATGTCACACAAAGTAATTATTTCTACAAATTAACATTTCAATGGTAGTGAACACCTGATGACAAACTTCGTAGGAAAAGCCTCAAACTGAACCATAAAGTCTTAAGGGGGGGGGGCGCACCCAGGCACTGTGTCTGTAGGAAGGCCATGCCCTAGGGCATACATTAGGAAAGTTGTGGTTACAACCTACCCAGCTCAGTGATGCTTTCTACACATAATTTTTAGTCTGGCAACCAATATTGATTATATCAGAACACAAGCTAAATACCAGGGAAGATGGAACAGCCCGTGACTACTGCAGACCGCTGTCCCTTCTTTGTTCTCTTCATTCATTGACCCTGCCTCTGGCAGCCAGGCAGCTGAACTGAACCACTCACCCTAATAAAGGGTGTCCCTACAGAGAGATCACCTGAAGTCTGGACTGACAAGTAGCCACTGTGACTGGGATGCTCACCCATGGAAAACCACATGACTTAACTACCATAGAACTGGTTTTGAATCCTGGCATTTAGTGAAGTTCGTGATATATAAAATGCAATAGTGAATTTATTATTTTCCACAATGTATTCCTAGCTAAAATAAAACTGTAAGTATGTGATGACTTTTTTTTGAGACAAGGTCTCCCTACAGCCCCAGCAGGCCTGGATCTTGTTGGAACCAGGTTGGCCTCAATCTCAGAGATCTGCCTGCCCCTGCCTCCTGAGTGCTGGGAATAAAGGTGTGCACGGTGCAGCACAATATGACTAACTTCTGAAGGAGAGATGAGCCAAGGGCATGTTGACCAAGGCTGTGCTGGAGCAGCTATGCCAGCTATGATGCCTAAAACTGTATTTCTTGATGGCCAAGAAGTCCTGCCCCACCATGGAAGCTGCACTGAGCTTACTTATGGGACAGACACTTCAGGTTCCTTAGTGCTGGGCTGTCCAGAATTTTTTTTTTTCTTTTTCTTTTTCTTTTTGAGACAGGGTCTCCCTGTAGCCCTAGCTGTCCTTGAACTCAGAGATCTACCTGCCTCTGCCTGGGATTAAAGTGCTGGGATTAAAGGCGTGCACTACCACGCCCGGCAAGGTTTTTTTTTTTTTTTTTTTTAAGGCAGGGTCTCCCTGTAGCCCCAGTTGTAGACCAGGCTGGCCTTGATCTCACAGAGATCCACCTGCCTCTGCCTCCTGAGTGCTAGGATTAAAGGTATGTGCCATCATACCTAGCCCTTCTGTCCAGCTTATGTCTCTGCACGGATGGGCTAGCTCTTTACCAGCACTATAGAAATACAGCTCAGGAGCTTTGTGGTTGCTGGAGTTCCATGCTATATACCTAGTCATCTAGATCTGAAGCAGCCTGTGTCCTCAGCCACTTGTCCCCTCCACTGCAATACACACACTGGGAGCCTGAAGGCAGGATGCCAAGACCCTTTCAACACTTTGAAAACCAAGCCATAGGTGAAGGCTTATCTTGTCAATATAGCATATACTCTTCAAAACTTCTGTTGAGTAACCAAGACTTTAGAAGATATCTGTCATTAACTCATGGTCTTCCAATGCTTGGGTAGGGCTTGTACTGTCACCCAGAACTTGTCCTACACACCTTAAAGAGGGGTATCTCAGCAATACTTTGCTTGAACATACAGGAAAGCCTGAGCAAGAGAAGTGCAGGCATCAGGCTGGGTGCCCAGTGGTGCACTGGGACAGTCTCCTTGCCCTGGTGGTCTCCTAGGAGCTAGGAGCTAGGAGCTAGGAGGGGTGACTAGTGTTCCCTCCATTAGCAAAATAGTCTGCGACTGTGGCATTACAGCGCATGGTGGGGCTGATTCTGCCCACAGTTGCCAGCAGGAGCCTTTGGTGTGCAGCCTGCATTGGATACTCAAATGGAGACAGGAGCAGGGACCCCAGTTCTCCCTGATGTCAGGCTATATGGATTTGAACCAGGGTATGGTTCAAGGACGGGAGAAAGACCACTGTTGGCGTGCAGGATATGCCTGCAGGGACCTCTGCACAGAGGGCAAAGTTCCTGTGGACAGGCCAGGCTGTGTACCCAGTTTCATCCCTCAGCCCAGCTGAGTGTCAAGAGTGAGGAATGTGCTCAGTTCTTAGCACAGTCAATGGTAGAAGCTGGTGCACCATTTCCTTCTAGGGGGAAGTGAACAGTAGCACGTATTCTGTCATCACACCAGTTTTGCCTCTGTGTAGGATAGAGTCAGCTCTCAACTTCCCTGGGTAGAGGGAATCTCAGTTGAGAAACTGCTTCCATTGGACTGGTCTGTGGCCATGTCTACGGGACATTGTTTTGATTGTTGAGTGATGTGGGAGTGCCCAACCCACTATGGGAGGTGCCAAACCTAAGCAGGGGGTCCTGTGTTATATAAGAAAGCAAGCTGAGGGGCTGGAGAGATGGCTCAGTGATTAAGAGCACTGACTGCTCTTGCAGAGGATCCGGGTTTGATTCCCAGCACCCACATGGCAGCTACAGACCATCCTTAACCCCAGTTCCAGAGGAATCAGCACCCTCTTCTGACCTCCGTGGCATTGCACAACATGGGTGCACTCACATACATGCAGGCAGTACACTCATATACACATAAAATAAAAGTAATATTAAGAAAAAAAGAAAGCAGGCCTGAGTACAGGCCAGGGGGGCAAGCCAATAAGCAACACTCCTCTATGGTCAATACTTTGGTTCCTTCCTGAAACTCCTGCTCTGGCTCTTCTCAATGATGAACTGTAAGCTGAAGGTGAAAGAAACCCTTTCCTCCCCAAGTCAGTGGTTTATCTCAGTAACAGAGGCCAAACTAGGACAGCTTCCTAGTGACATTTCTCAGGGATCCTTTTGGGCACGTTCTGAAATTCACACGTGGGTTCTTTGTGTTACTGTGGATTGAACTCTAGGCTTCACACATGCTAGATAGGTGCTCTATTATACCTTCAGTCTATTTGTATTTTGAGACAGAGTTCTGCTACAAAGTCCACCTCCCACACCTCAGCCCCAAGTGCTGAGAAGTACTGGGAGGACAGGCATTCAGTACCACACCCAGTTCATAATTTGTGAACTTCCTCTCTCTCCTGAACCCAGTCCAGCCAGAACCACTGGTCATTTGAGTGCCCAGATTCAAGATTTTTGAGTTTGTCCTTTGCCATGGGTCTTCCTCTGAGTGCTCTTCTGCCTTCTGCTAGATCTAGTGGAGGTTCAGCTCTAATTTTCCCTTTTATTCAGTGAACCCATACATTCCTACCATTCTTCTTCCCCCAGGTTGTTCCCTACATCCTGAGACCTCAGGTACCTCTGGCCTCCCTGAAGCACTGGTCTCCCATTTTGGCCCTGGTCCTGTGAGCACAACTATACCAGATAGGCTGCAGTCAGTGGCCCTGTATAACACATGTGCTACCTGCTCAGGTTTTAGGGCACCACACATGAGCAACTTGACCAGAAGAAAGTGAGTCTCTTTTTGTATGCACAGATACTGGCATAGACACAGGTATTGGCACAGACACAGGAACAAGATGTAATTTATGCATATGTATAAATAAACTGTTAAATGAAGCTGTTCCCACTATGAAGCAGGGAAGCATGGCACTGCTTGTATGGCTGGGAGTAGTCTGAGGCTTCTGACCTACATAGCCCCAGCCTCAGCCAAGAACCTTTCTCTACTGATACCTAGCCCCATTCTACTTGCACATTTGATGCCTCCTCTCTGGAATGCACCAGCTTCAGTTTCTTTCAGGGAATGGGATGCCTGTACGGTAGACAGGTGAAAGAGCCCAGCACAGGGAGTAGGAGGGGAACAGATGACATAGCAGTCCAAAGTGAGCTCTGGCACTGGGCCTACATGGCCACTAGGGACATAAGAAGACTTGCTTCTTGTTTGGTTCACTTCAGAGGCCAGAAGCCACTGCCAAGAAACTTAAGATGCATCCTGACCCATGTGTTGCTGCTCAGAATGGCCTGGGTAGTGGGTGCCACAGGGAGGAGCCAAGCATCCCTGTACTGTGCCAGTTCAGTCATCCAGTATATTTCCTAGTAACAGCCATACACCAAATCAGCCCTAGGGCAGAGTATATCACAGCAAATGTGGGGACTTAACCAGGAGCTCCTGCCTGACCCCCAGGCACTGTACATAGCAAACTCATGTCTGAGGTGAAGAGCAACAGATCAGATGATCTTTTGACTTAGCACCTTCAGAAGGTGGATGAACACTCTCTGTAGCACCCCAAGAAGCAAAGAGCAGGAAGTTGGCTGTGCCAGAGCCAGAGGGTCCCAAGGGCAGCATCACAGTTGCAAAGGAACCACATGAGGGAGGAGGGCAGCAGTTCTTAACATAGAACTGCAGCTCAAGCCTAGCCACATACATGCTACTGTACAGCCCACTCCATCTCAAAGCACTGCCAGTCTCAAAAGCAGATTGCTCAGCTGATTTGCCCCTGCAGCTGAAACATGGAATGGTAATTGACTGGCAGTGCCAGTGAGGACCTATAAAGCTTGTGAAAGAGGGAAGCCCAGGGTTTGAGTGCCCTTCCAGGGAATAGCACACTTGGGTATGTCACAAAGCAGCTACCTAAGGGTCTTTGTCCTACCTGTCTACCTTGGGGTCAGTCTGACAGCTTGGATAACCTTAAACATCAACTCATCTAGAACTGACTGAGGGGATGCCTGCATTTTAACCCCCAAGAATCCATGTACTGAAGGATCATATGACCCACTTAGCACTAACACAAAGTAGAAGCTCCTGCCATGGAACTGGGAAGATGGGATCTAGTTGTACAGCTGCTGACTCTCCCACCTGACATGGCGGAGGCTCCTTTTAATGCTGCATCTTACAGGATGAATGCTTTTCATGAGAATAGAAACCCTTAAGACCCCCCCCCCCCCAAAAATACTGCAGAATGCTTTGGGCAGTTAGAAAGGTCCTGTTCAGACAGTTCAAAAAGCAAATTTGTTAGCATAGGCTTATTGTAACAGGTCCATGAGAGGCAGATGGTTCAAGGGAACCTTCCAGAGCTCAGACAAATCTGAGTCCTGAGCAAGTGCAGGTGTCCTCAGAAGCCCGATGCCTATCCCTCCTGGCTTCACCACACAGGCCTCCTTGAAGCCTTTCTCCAAGCAATGTGACAACTTCTTAGAAAGATTAAAAGGGGACAAATTGAAAACCCCTGAGAGGATCCATCCTGCTTGACGATTGAGTCTGAAGGCCCAAACTGTAGGTCACCTTTCCTGGCCACCAGGGGACCACAGTTATTGTGTAGCAAGGGAGGCACGAGCGGAGGAAGGAATGAGAGGGGCAGGGGGTTTTGTGTAAGATTTAATAAAAAACAAACAAAAATAGGAATGGTTGCTTTCAACATTTTCCAGGTTGTGAAAGATTTGTCAGGATTATCTGGGAGCATGGTTCTAAGCTGCATTAGTGGGCCAAATACAAAATGCTGTCCTCCTCCCAGCGAAAAGGAAGTGGGGCAGGTTGGACCCTGCTCTAGGCCCCTCCAGCAACCAGGCCAGACTAGGACATTTGGTGGCTCTGCTCTGACCAGCGGAGGCTACATCCATGTAGTGGTCTTCAGCTGTGTGCAGCAGAGCCGAGCCACTGGCAGGTCCCCACACACGCACTCTTGAGGCAGGGCTAGCTTATCAACAGGCTGCTGTGCCTTAATACTGACAGTGAGCGGAGTGGGAGAGCGGAGGGATCTGCTCAAATGCTGAGGGGGGCAGCCCTCCCTACCCCACTGCTTGAGCTTGACTAATCTGAAAATGCCATGGAAAAAAGCTGTGATAAAGACAACAGGAAGTTGGAATCAACTGCAGGGAATGGAGCAAACAACCCACACACCAGCCAGTCTCTCATGCATCCATACCCACAGTTAATGAAGGTAACTGAAAATCAAAGATGCAGATGACAGCCACGCTTTGCTTGTGCTGCTGTCAGCCAGGAAGGGTGTGTCAGGTGGAACAGGATGCAGCTAGTCTTTCTTCAAGTCCCTGGATTCAAAGAGCTTCAAGCGCTCCTGCACCGTCAGGCCTTCCTTCAGACTCTGGTGGAGACAGAGCAGGAGGAAGTAATTACTCTGCTGGTGGGGTAGTGGCAGACAGGCTTCTGTAGCCACTGCAGGTGTGAGGCAGAGGGCACGGAGGGTGGGCTCTTGAGATTAGTTGGCATGCTAGGGTAGAAGGCCCCTGAGAAGTGTTACTGGTGGAATATGCTTTATCCTTCAGAAACTTAATTCAATGAGAAAGGGGAAAAAATAGAAATAAGATCAGGTGTCTACACAGTTGAACTCTGGCCTTAGGGCTCTTCAGATTGACAGCCACAAAAACCTTGTGCTAAGAACTGGGTACCTGTACTCTTACTGCACATGAGTACATGTCTGGTTTCTTTGTGCTCATGAACCCACAGCCTTAAAGACAAGTGCTGCTCTCCTGGGATATCCTAGTGGCACCATAGCTCTGCCTCAACCATCCCTGATTGGGTCTGATGGGGCTACCGGATGTAGTTGTCAACATACTATACAGACTGAGTAGTCTCCTGGGATCTTGGTATGTCTCAAGGAACATTTTTCTAAGTGGGGAACAGAATGTTTCCCCCTTCTCTGAGATATCTTCCCCAAAGCTTTCATTTCTGGAAGAGCATAAAGACCTCAGTTCCTAGAGACCAACTGGCAATGAATGGGTCTCAGCATGCCCCAGGTCTGGCCCTGGCTCCTTAGCTGTCAACTCTCATTGGCCATGGATGATGGGCATAGTGTACTAGGCTGTACTAGGAACAGGCAGCCAGACGTACTTCCAGAGGATGGGGCCTAGCTTCCTCTAGGGCATGAAGGAGAAGCTGGACTCTGGTTGGCGTCCTTCCCCACAACTTCCCCAACAGCTTTGAGTGGTTTTTTGTTTTCGTTTGAGACAGGGTCTCATGTAGCTCAGGCTGTCCTTAAATGGGTGGTTTCTTATACTAAGGAGCTATGTGTGTGAATAGTGATACCTATGCCTGTCTCAAGGTGTCCCTGGGGTCCCTCCTCTCAAGCACAGGTATCTCTTGGCAGCCAGATTCCTAGAGGTGCTAGGTAGGACTCCTGGCTATCAATAGGTGACCAAGCCAAAGTGTCCCCCACCAGGGTAAGTGTGTATGGGGGATACTGGCACTGTCACAAATGCTCTGTTTTAACTGGGGGCTGTCAGGCTGTCCTGAGACCCCTGTGGACAGTGATCACTCTGGGATTGAGTCCTCATGTGAAAGAACAGCTCACAGTAGCCCTAGATGATCTCTACACCCCAGGGTGGAGATGAACTCGGGTACTACACCCACTATGATTCTCAAGGCAGAGTAGACCAAACACACTGTCCCTTGTACCCTGGGAAGTGCCATCTCTCTGAGGCTTTTGGCTTCTCTCTCTTGGGGGCTGAAGCAGTATAGCATTTACCTTCAGGATTCAGTCCCCAACCGTACCCCCTGGATAATGTCTCTGCTCTGGATCTTAGCAGAGGCCATGTTGCTTGCTGCTACGAAGTCTTGAGATAAACAGCACTGGAAAGGTCTTGATCAGGACACAGCATGGGCAATAATAGAAGGTACTGGGAGCCTGGTTCTGGCTTATCTTTTCGTGGGGCTGGCAGGAGGCTCCAAATGTACTCAAGGCAACACTGAGACATTCTGCCATCATGGCTCAGTTAGGCCCCACCTTGCCTAGTAGGGGATGGGGTATCCCAAAGATGCCCTGCAGGACAATGGAACTGGGCTATGCCAATGTTAACAAGATCATGAGAAAAGCAGTACCTGGATCTCCTCTGTTTTCCTGTTCCCTCTGGGAGTCAGGTGCTCCCTAGAAACCCAAAGGCTTTTTCCACCTGTCATGGCTTTAGTGACCCCATCAGCACAGAGCTATTCCAGCACTTCAGGTGACTCTAGCGATCCTACCAAGCACAGAGGTCACCAGCACCTCTCATGGCTGCCTTTGCCACAGAGATCCTGCCAACACAGAGGCTCCTTGTTCCCCTAGCATCATCACCACCCAGGCCCTTGGTGCTGAGTCCTGTGTCTATCTTAATGTCCCCACAGGAGTTCATATGAATGTGGCACACCCCATTTTGTACTTTCCTCATGGTGCCCATCCTGCAGAACCTTTCTCAGCTTTACCCAAACACCCCACTTGCTCACAGTGACCACCAAGATCCCTGAGGAAGGCTAAAGGACAAGAGTTGAGTTTAATTTCAGGTAGGAGAGAGTAGAATGTCCAATACGAAAACAAGCCTAGAGAGGTTCATCAAATATTGTTCATGTTTTAGGAAAACCCTCAAACTTATGTTTTCAATCATTTCTTAAAGCACATTATTTGACTAGGGACTGGAGAAAAATAAGCAGAAAGAGATTAAGTTAAAATCCTTGGGCTTCCTCAATACTCTTCCCAAGGCAAACCTGTTTCCTCTGAGCCTCAAGCTGATGGCCTTGCTGGCTACCAGGAGGCCCTTGATGGTGGGGGGCTCATATGCAGCAGGAGCTGGGTGCTGCCAGTGGGACCAGCCAGGCCAGTGTCTCTGAGCTGCGGTCACTGCATAAATAAGGTCAGCCACAAGTCAGAGCACAGGATCCCTAGCACTGTGCTTAGCATGGCCACTCCCATCACCTTCTACAGAAGACACAGATTTTTCTTGTACTATGTAAAAGAAACAGGTCAGTAGATGCTCAGCTCCATGTGTAACACCAGTCCCCTTAGGAACAAAATACTTTCTCAAGTGCTGCAGTATTTGTCCATGGAGAATGGACAAAACCCCTGCTCCACCTGCTGGGTCTTGTAAGCAGCCTTGCTGCCAATTGTATGGGTAAGGTCTTCCATGAGAGCAGACATGGGCTAGGTGCCGTGCAAATCACCCAGCATGCATGCTGGCTTGTGCCCGCCCGCTAAGCTGGAGAGGCGCTGGGCAGGCTCAGCTCTGTAAAGAGGTTAGAGTGCCAGTTAACTTCCAGGAAAGTCACTAAGATCTCGTGTGGGCTGTGTGTGTGCTTGCTGGACAAGGATGGATGAAAATAAAGTAATTATACAGGCGTGTGCTATGGAGGTGTGAGCAGTGCATGCAGAGCCACCCAGTGTGGGCAGTGGGCGGAGTGAGAGGTAGTTTACCTATACCACAGGGGACCTGGAAGCGGGCGCGAGTCAGTTATCCCATGAGACCTGCTCAATTACGGACTGTCAGAGGAAAGAGCAAAAATAAAACACACACAGACAAAAATCAGTCCTAAATGCAGCATGCTGGCCATGCCCTCTCCACCCATCCTCCCAGAGACACGCCCATCTGGGAGCACACTGGGGATCAGTGGCTTTATCTCTCCAAGGATGGTGGTGTCAGTGTGATGACAGGATTGTGCAGAGAACAGGCATACAGTAGAGCTGATGAGAGACCAGATTTACCCCAGTCTCTGTGAGGTTCAAGGCCGAATCCCTCCATATCTTGCTTCTTGAAGCCCTGGTCCCTAGGTGGTACATTAAAGGGACACAGAATTTGAAGCCACTTAAGACTCATCCCGCCATGGTGGCTGTGTGGGAAGGCTAGTGCCTGCACTGGGGTTGATCAGGGTCTGGGCACTGATTACTGTTTCTCTTTCTGGTCTCCTCAAGCCAACACCCCTCAACCACAGGCTGGACCTTACTCACCTTGGACCTGATATTTCTAAGTTGCCGGGTGACACAGGATCTGTCTTTCTTCAGGAAGTCAGGGTTGCTTTTAGATTTCATTATGTCTGAAGGAACAAAGAGATCCATTATCTTTGTTTTCTACAACCTTCCAAAACCATATTGAATATGTGGGCTCCCTGATATATCTCCTAAATCCAAGCAAAGTACCACTCCACAGTGTGTCCTTGTAAAACACAACACTGCAGAGCATCAGGGCTTCGGGTTCCCACTAGGGCTTCAGTCATGACTGCTGAGTCACAGTGATGCCAGCAGAAGACAGAGTCTCTCATTTCTGCACTGGACCTTGATTGCTGGGCAGACTAAGAGGCCCCATTATTCCTATCTTACTCTTGACAGAGGACTGGTATCAAGTAAAGTTAAGACCAAACCGTTTTCATGCCCCACCTTAGGAAGACAGCAGTCCTTGTGATGTCTTAAAATTTTTTTTATTATTTTTGGGGCTGGAGAGATGGCTTAGTGGTTAAGAGCACTAACTGTTCTTACAGAGGACCTGGGTTCAATTCCCAGCACCCACATGGCGGCTAACAACTGTCTGTAACTCTAGTTTCAGGAAAATCTGATGCCCTCTTCTGACCTCCGCAGGCACTGCACAACATGGGTGCACTTACACACATGCAGGCATAACGTGTACACATAAAAATAAATAAAATATTTAAAAAATATTTTTATTTTATGTGTATGAATGTACTACCTGCATGTATGCACCTGTGTTGTGCAATGCCCATGGAGATCAGGAGAGGGCGCTGGAAATCAAACCTGGGTCCTCTGTAAGAGCAGCCAGTGCTTTTAACCACCAAGCCACCTTTCCAATCCTTCTTTCAGTGTTTTAAACACAGACAGCTATACACTGGGCCACACTACAGAATGTCTCAGGTATAGGGGCTTTCATGCTTGTGCCCTCAAATTTTCATGGATTTCTGCCCACAACAGCACAAAAATATCTCCCTGGCTTCCTAAGAACTGCACACTCTGCCACTGTGCAGCTGTCATGTTTCATACAACCCCAGTTTATGCTGTCCAGTGGACTGCTGTCTGCAGAAGTTTAGCACCCTGGCATACCTCACTGTGTGGTGGACTGCTGTTTCTAGCTCCTGTTTACAGTTGCTCAGTACATGCTTTGTTGAGATTATCATAGCACGTCAAGGGCATATACATTTCCAATTCTAAGTCTTCCTCCCTTCTATAGGCCTTAGCCCTGGCCCCTTGGTCTCCTGCTCAGGCAACCACTGTTAACCCTTTTAGAGTTAGCTGGATTTTAAATTGTGCTGTGTGTTGCCTGTGGCCTTCCAGAAGAGAAGTTTGTATCCCACCAGCAATATGAAGGACTTGTCTTGCAGGCATATATTAGCACTGTCAGGGGTATGGATCCTGTACTGGCTGATGAAAGTTTCATTAGGGAGCTTGAACAGATTTTCATGTTTGTGGGGCTCTTTTAGCTACAGAGAGACCCTGTCTCAAAAAGAACCCCCCTCCCTGCCAAAAAAAAAAATTCACCACAAAGGAGGCTGGAGATGGCTTGGTGGTTAAAAGCACTGGCAACTCCCAGCACAACCATCCCTAAGTCCATCCTAGGGATGGCTAACAACCATCCCTAACTCCAGTTCAGGGGATCTAACACCCTCTTCTGGCCTCTGCAGACACTTCATACACATGGGGCACTTACATACATGCAAACGAAACACTCACCCACATAAAAAATAAAAATAAACTTTAAAAAAGAGAAAAGATCACCATGAAGGTATGATGAAGTCATGGATTATCAGAAAGTGCTCTGTAGCCCCTTCCTGTCTGTCCTGCACAGGTGCCTGTGTATTTTCAGCAAGCACAGGACAGGGTCAGTCCTATTGGTTTTTTGGGAAGATGGTGACTTCCCCTCTGTTCTGCTTGCCTGGAGCCCTTGCAGGTTTTATGGTAAAACACTTGGATCAAGCAATTAGCAAGAACTTCTCCCTAGCTGCTGAAGTTTTTTAGAAAACAAACAGCAAGACCCCTTCTTACTATGGAAGCAGCTTTTGTGTAAAGCGGGGCATGGAGAAGAAGGGGGTCTTCCATGTTGGGTAAACCATGTATGTGGGGCCCCTCAATGAAATGTGGGATGGCAAAGGGCATCAGGACCTTTGGGATTTGATTCAAGTGTCAAAAAATCTCCATTATAAGTACCCAGGTGGCTCACCGTATCCTGAAACAGCAGTGCCCTCGGGGGATTTCTCCCCCAGTGCCTCTGTGGCTGCTTTCAGCTGCTCTTTCAACCTGCTGATATCACAGTCAGCTTTGGCCTTCGCAATGCTGAGTTCTGTGTAGATGTCTTTGTACTTGTCACTAGCATACTTCTTATCCTAGGAAATAAAGGGCCAGAAAGCAAATGGTAGTTGGAACCAGGGAAGCAAGCTTATGAATTTTGGCTTTGGGGCTAGGGCACTGGGAGAACTGGCTGTGGCTGGGAAATGGCTGTGTACCCTCCATCTTCCAGAAACAGAGACTGTACACTAAGGAAAACATGAGATAGGCAGATGGTGCAGGGAGTGCAGGAACAAGGGGCACAGGCAACCTACTATGGTGCTGATTGTCCAGCCACTTCTTCATGGGCTTCAGCCAGAAAAAGCCTCTGAGTTTTGGATTTTCTAAGTAACCTGATTGAATGATTCCATTAGTTCTGATTTCTGACTCTAGGAATCCCCTAGGGTTGGACCAGACCCACCTGAATGGTAGGCTTAGCCTTACTTCACTCCCATCACATTCTTCTGAGCATCATTGTTCCTGAAACTACCACCACATGGCAAGGTCAGAGAGGCCACACTCCTAAGGTATCTGCTTAAAGGCTGGTGTTTTAGGAGAACCTGACTTTGGGACCATGATCCTGATGAAAGTGACATCTCCTGTAGAATGGCCATGTAGAACTGAGCCTGGCAGGGCCTGCCTGGCCAGGCCTCCTTGGATTTGCTCCACCCTTCCCTACCTCCCAGAAGTTGGCTCTTACCCGTAGGGCTGTCTGGAGTTCATCCTTGAGAGAGCTGATCTCTTGCTTCAGGTACTGTATTTCTGATTCTTTAACCCGCAATAAGACCTAGAAGCAGGGAGAAAATCAGGACTGACTCTTGAGGAGCCAGGGAACCTGTGGAGTCTGTGCACACAAGGGCCACCTGGCAGATAGTTGCTTCACACATTGGGGATCAGGAGAGAGCCCACCATCACTGACACCCAATGGGACAAATGACTTAAATACTGCTTAAAGTTTTCACATAGCACATAGAAATGGAAAGGGGGGAAAATGGCCATCTCTCTCAGTCCTAAGAATTTCCAGCCTCAGGCCTAGGGACCATCTTGAGTTTGTGGTGCTGACAGAGTGCTCGCTCCCTCAGATGGAGCTGCAAAGGTCTAGGACATGCTGTTTCTGTAGGAACTTCTGCTAACCCCATTCAGCCCCTCCTGCTCACCTGTCAGCAAGAGCCATCTGTAAGAGAAAATCTTAAATCTAATGGGGATGACATCTATATGCCTCCCTGAGGATGACCTACAGTCCTTCCTCTCTCCCTCTCTTTCAACAGTGTCTTTTTCTTTTGCACAGACTGGTCTAGAATCCTCCTGCTTCAGCCTCCCAAACAGTTGGGGCTGTAGGTATATGCCACCATAGAACCAGCCATTCTGACTTAAAAGCTGAACATCCCAGACTCTGAGAAGTAGAACATGCTACAACCTCAGACAGTGGCAGCATTGTTGTGAGAAAGAGGGAGCTGTGGGTTGCTGAAGGGAAGAGACTGAAGATCTTCATGGCCTCTTGAGGGGCTGCTGCTCTTGCCTGTGGACCTCAGGCTACCTGTCAGCTACCTGCCATCTTGCCATCCCAGATGACTTTGATACTAGAACTTCTCCATAACTCTGGTATACCCTAACTTCAAGGTTTCCTTTTTATTGCTGTTGCAGTGCTAGAGATGAGCCCAGGGTTTTGCACATGCTAGGCAAGAGTTCTACTACAAAGTTATACCCCTTTGGCCCTATGGTCAAGTCTGGTCCCCCAATGACTCTATGCTAAGGGGCTCCTGTGTGAAACAGCTGAGTAAGGCAGTGCCTAGCTTCTCACAGTACCTCTAACTCGTAGGCGTCTTTGCCCTGTGTGAGGGGTGACCCAGCAGACTCCCCGCCACCATCCCCAGTCAGTAGTGTCCGCAACCGTGTGATCTCTGCAGCCAGGCGGTTATTCAGCTCCTGGGGACAGCAATGTAACACAACAGTGACCTTCTACATCAGAGTGCACAACACATCCTGGGAAGGTCATTTCTCACTAGCAGTATGTAGAGGCCTAAGAATAGAGGCCATAAGCACAGAGGTGTTTACAGTAGACATCTGAAGCTGTTACTGTCTGAGATGTACGGCTCTCAATGAGCTATTTATATGGTTTTTGTGAGGACAATGCTACTTGGGATCTGTTGGGAATTGGTTCTAGGACCCCTAGCAGGTACCAATATCTGGATGCTCAAGTCCTATTACAAAGTGGTGTAGTATTTGCATGCAAGCTACACGCATCTTCCCAAATATATTAGACTATCTCTAGATCACATCTAATACCTAATACCATGTAATTCCCAAATATTCAGTTGTACTGTATTATTTTGGGGAGTGATGATTAAAAAGAAAAGTCAGTACAGGGGCTAGAGAAATGGCTCAGTGGTTAAGAGCACTGACTGCTCTTTCAGAGGACCCGGGTCTGAATCCCAGCACCCACAAGGCAGCTAACAACTGTCCATAACTCCAGTTCCAGGGGATTTAACACCCTCTTCTGACCTCTGTAGGCATTCCATGATATGGGTGCACTTACACACATGCAGTCAGTACACTCATACACATAAAAATAACAAAGGGGCTGGAAAGATGGCTCAGCAGTTAACAGCACTGACTGCTCTTGCAGAAGACCTGGGTTCGATTCCCAGCACCCACATGGCAGCTACAAACCGTCCTTAACTCCAGTTCCAGGGGAATCCGAAGCCCTCTTCTAACCTCTGCAGCACTGTATACCACAGGTACACTCACATACATGCAGGCAATACACTCATACACATAAAATATTTAAAAAAACAATAAATATTTTAAAAAGTCAGTACATGTCCAGTGTGGATGTATTTCCTCCCCCAAACATTTTCCACCTGTGGTTGATCAAATCTACTGACACAGAGCCCAATGCAACAGGGGCTGATTATGTCTGCAGAGCTGAGGATTAAATGGATCTTAAATCTTTCTGTTGTGGACAGTACTGTCTTGTCTCACTTGAGTTCCTAAAGGATTCAGCCATCCTGTTCTGTCCCTCCACTTCTTGAGCCTCTTTCTGGGTGATAAGTGGTCCTCTTCAAGCCTCTGCAATGATTTACTGGGCCTGAGCAGCTTCACCCAGTCCTGTGAGGTATGAATATCTATCTAGCAGCTAGGGAGGGCAAACAAGATAGGGCTCAAGACAGGCTAAAAACGGGGTACCGCAGAAAAGGTTACACTGAACTCAGTATTACAACTCAAACCTTTGGGTCAGATGGGAGTCTATATACCAAATTCCAGAGAACACTGAATTCTAAGAGAATGGCCTTAGAGAAATAAATGTGAGAGGGTATCCTACTGAGCCTGGTAGTATAGCCTGGTAGTATAACCTCAGCCTCTAGAGATAGGAGACACTGACTCTGAGATGAGCCTGGGCTGCTCAGCAGTGGACCAGGGATTTAGAGAAACCACCAGATTCTCAGTCTTAGAAGAGCAGACGTGGTGGCCCCAGGTTCCAATATCAAGGCTGAGAAGCTGCCATGAAGGTGAGGCCTGGCCTCTCTTGGCCTTACCTGGTTATGGGCATTGAGCTCCTGGTTTTCACGCTGGCACTGCCTCAGGGCCTGCCGCTCAGCCTCCAGTGCCTGGGCCAGGTGTGCATTCTCCAGGCACTTCTGGGAGTACTGTTCCGAGAGGACCTCTAGCTCCCGCTGCACTGACTGCAGCTCTTCCCTGTGGAAAGGGAGTGCTCAGCCCTGCCCTGACCACATGCCCAGGGCCACTGGACATTGACAGTGCAGTGTCTGCCCACAAAGTCTTAGGGGCACTTTATAGAAATATGACTGTCTCTCTCCTGGACCACCCACAGCTGGCACACTCTGGAGATGCCACTGGGGACAGGATCCAGTCACTGTGAAAACGGAGCTGTTTCTGAGAGATGTCAGGCATGGGATGCTTCCCACTTGTGTGCTGCATCATCTCAAAGCATAGATGCTTAGCATAATACCCTTCGAGGTGCTGTTCTCAGTACCTCAGCTCCAGAAGGGCTGAATCCCCAAGGTGGGAGCCAAGGAGGAGGGCCTTCTAGATGAGCCCCCAGTCTAGCAAGCATGACCATTCTAGGGACTGCCTGAGTCGCTGTAGCTTTGGAGCCCTGCACATTCCAGAGACCCCAGTAAAGGTTCATCAGTGGATGGCTCATGGTACTAATCTGATGATCCCTAGTAGAGTGATTCTTACCAAGGGAAAACCCACCAGGTACTATACTCTAGTGCATGTGTAGTACCTATGTAAAATGGGTACATGTGAGCCTTCTTTTCTCTTTTCTTTTTTTTTTTTTTTGAGACAATCTCATTATGTAGTTTTGGCTGACCTGGAACTTTCTATCTCACTATGTAGACCAGACTGGCCTTGAACTCACAGAAATCTACCTGTCTCTGCCTCCCTAGTGTTGGAATTAAAGGTGTGCACCAACAGGTGAGGTTTTTAGAACACTGACATACAGCTGTGGAATATCAGGTACAAAGTACCAGCCAGACTCTGGACTCTGGCTCCTTGTGAGCTACTGATATAGTATCAGTGGTAGAGCACAAATTAGGTCACCGTATCTACAGTCAGCCCTAGACAAGGCTGGTTTTAAGACAGGGTCTCTATACATAGTCCAGATTGGCCTTGAATTTGTGCCAGTCTTCCTGCCTTGGTCTTCTAAGCATTGAGATTACAAATGTGCACCACCACACCCAGTTTAAACTGTTATTTAAAATGTCCTCTGTCTGCATTTTAGTGATTAGTCTCTGTGCTAATACCCAAAGCCCTAGGTGTTTGCCACTGGAGAACACAGTATGGGTAACCTTCAGAACTACGTTCTCCGTGCCTACCCAGGATCAACTCCAAGGTTGTCAATGGATGGCAGGAAGCCAGCCCTCTCCCACAGGGCTCTCCCAGGGCCAGGCAACTCACAGGTACTGCCGCCTTAGGGCTTCAATGTCAGAGTTGATGCTGCTGATCTGAGACCGCTGGCTCTTCTCCAACTCCCGCTCCATCTCTTCCCGGTGGGCATTCTTCATGGCTTCAATGGCTATAGGAAGGACACAATCTTCAGCACCAAGAACCAGGGCTACCCTGGCAGTGGCTCTCTCTACTATATTACCCGTTCCTCACAGGGTAGCCAAGGACAGGTTAGTGTGAGATCAGTTTCCTGTTGACATTTATTCCAGTAGTGGTGGGACTCCACAACTGGCTGGCCTATCATAGACCAACTCTCAGGGGTGGACAAAGGTTGGGAGAATTCCCAAATCAACTTCTCCTGGAAGGGCTACAGGCATGTTATTTTTGATATTAGAAAACCCAATGATCAGGTAAATTCCAATGTTATATTCATGCATGAGTTTGTAAAATAAAGTATTTGAAAAAAAAGTGTTTGGGGACTGGTTTACTTTCTTCCTTGATGCCAAAGTGAGCCACTATGTGAAGAAATTGTAAAACACAATATGGTTGAGACATGCTTGCTGGTGCTGTAGTACAGCATATTCATGCTCTAGTGAAAGGACAACTCCAAGTGAGGGGCCTCTGTTGGGGGTTAGCCCTGCAGTGTCTCAAGTAGCTGGAGCACTGGCTCTCTGTTTGTTGACTCTTGAAGGACTCAAGTCAGCCCTTGCCTCAGTTTGAATATTCAAAGAACAATTCTCTTTAAAATGAAACTCGAAGGGCTGGGGTTGTGGCTTATATGAAAGAGGGCTAGCCTGGCCTGTATGAGGACCTGTGTTCCATCTCCAACAGGGCATAAATAGCGTATGGTGTATACCACTTATATGCCTGCTACTCTAGCTCTTGGGGATGTAGAAGCAGCAGGATCGAAGTTCAAGGTTATCCTCATGGATATGACTTGAGAATTCAAGGAAAGCCTAGGCTAGACTCTGTGCCCTTTCCACGAACAAAAAGGAAACTTAAATCTCAAGGAAAAGCAATGGGAAGCCAGTCTTCTAAGCTACAGATCCAGTCTAGGACATGGGCCTCTTGTGCCCTTCGACTCTGTCTCACCTGAGATGGTGGCAGCTGTCTCCTCAGCCAAGAGGCGGTCTTTCTCCTCCCGCAGCTTCTCCAGTTCCCGCTGGTGTTGCCTCTGCAGGTCTTCAATCTTCTTCTGGTGTGTCTCCTCCATGGCAGCAAAGCCTCGCTCACATGTAGCCTGTAGAAGGAAAGAGGGGGCTCATTAGTTTCCCTCTGCCTTCAAGTGACTGTCCTGTGTAATAAAAAATCCAGCACATCTGTCCTCTCTAGGCAATGATGTGGCTGGTGCTTCCAGGATCAGGCAGTGAAGCTGTGAAATTGTATATTCTGTTCTAGTCTGTGTGGCATCATAGCCGAGTGGTACTGACTGCAGGATGACAGATCATGTGTACTGTCTGTATTGTTTGGAGTGGCAGACACACTGAGTGCTGTCAACCACAGGGACAAGCTCTGACAAATTTGTTAGTTGGAGTCAAGTTCATCCGGAGATGAGGGGTAACCCAAGTGGGGAGCCCAACCCATCCCTTGTGTTAGGATACATACGGTCCATTTGGGGGAGCTATGGAACTTAAGCTGTTTACTGAACCTCACGGGTGTTAGTTATAGGAGCCAGAAAAGGTGTCAGCATCTTTTCTGCCAGCCTGTGCCTTCTTCTGTCCTTTTTCTTTTGAAGGAGAGCAGAGGTGTGTTACCCACTGAGGGCCTCAGCACTTTACCAAGCAGAACAACCTTAGGAAACTCAGGCCTAGCCTGTCAGAGCTGCTCTCCCCACCAAGCAGCAGTGCTGCACCTGTAGCCTGTAGTTACTTAGTGTATGGGGCATGCTGTCTAAGCCTGTGATATCTGCTTCAGGGCCTTCTCCTGATTTTTAAAACTGGAGGAATGTGGTCACGTTGCATTCCAAATAGAAACATGAGGGGCTTCCCCACTTGTAGCTCTAATCTAGCATCCAGTCATTATGCTTTGTCATCTTTCACTGAGCCTCAGTCACTGAAGGGCTTTTCTAAGTGACTATTCAGCACCTTCAAATTCCTGCTCACAGCCTGGACGTGGCAGCCAAGCACTGGCCAAGGCTTTAACTGCTACCCCAAACAAATGGGGCATCCTTCCACCTAGGAGCACCACCCTGAAAAGTGCCTAGTTGTTGCCCCCCACCTTACTGCCTTCACACCACAGAATAGATGGTTCTTCTTCTTGCTCCCACATGCCCACCTAACACACCGCTCTCAGTCAATACTCTCAACTACAGGTGGCATGCCCTGTCAAAACTTAGAATATATGCACATACATAATGAAGACGGGGGGGGGGTCTCCAGTATACACATGACTTTCACTCATGTTTCACCCACACCTCATCCATAGCCTGGAAGTAATTTTACACAGCATTTTTAATATGCTTGCATGTTAACTGAGAATTTCTTTTTGTTTTTTTTTCAGACAGGGGTTTCCTGTAGCCCCAGCAGGCCTGGAACTCATTATGTAGATCAGGCTGGCCTTGAACTGGCAAAGATCCGCCTGCCTCTGTGAGTGCTGGGATTAAAGGTGTGCGCCACCACACATTTAACTGAGACTTATCACAGAATGTCCGCTATGGAATTTTCTGCTTGTGGCATTCTGTCAGTTCTCAGAATGTTTTGGATTTTGGTTCATCTCAGATTTTGGGTTCCATATACCCTATAGATTTTATCAATCTTATTTATTATCAAAATTCCTACAACAAAGACAGATATCTTTAAAGACTAGGTTGCTTGTTATATGTTTAAAAGTTACTCTGTAAATGAATTTTGAGTTTTTATTGTATGTTCACGTGTGTGTGTGGACTAGAGGTTGATTCTTGATAACAGGTTTCCTCCTTGACCATTTTCTCCTTATATATTAAGGCAGAATCTCTCACTTGAACCCAGAGAGCACTGATTCAGCTCCTTTATCTAGCGAGCTTTCTCTGGTGATCCCAACTCCTGTCCTCGTGTTTGTCAACAAGCACATTAAACACTAGGTTATCGCCTCAGCCCCAAATTTTAATTTTTTTCTTAAAGACAGGGTCTCATTGTATAGCTCTGGCTAGCCTGGAACTCGCTATATAGACTAGGCTGGCTGCCAACTCACAGAGATCCACAGGCCTCTGTCTCCTGAGTGCCGGGATTGAAGCTGTGCACCACCATACGTGGTCCAATTTTTATTATTATTTTTTTGTCTCTTTGAGACAGGGTCTCCCTGTAGCCCCAGCTGGCCTGGACTATGTAGACCAGGGTAGCTTTGAACTCCCAGAGATCTGCCTGCCTCTGCCTCCTGAGTGCTGGGATTAAAAGGCATGTACCACCACACCCAGCATCCAAATTTTAATTTTTTAAATCAGCCCTAGAATCAAAACAACTTTCTCGATGACCAAGATACAGACTCATGGCAGGTTAAAGCAGTGTTAACAGCCCAGGCTCCCTGACCTGGGATAGAAATCTGCAGAGAAATAATGCTCCTAGCTAGGTTCTCTCAAACCAGTCTGGTCACATGTTCCCTGATCTAGGTAGAAATCTGCAGAGAGAAAATGCTCCTAGCTAGGTTCTCTCAAACCAGTCTGGTCACATACACTGCATGTGTCCAGCTACCAGCATCCCTGTAAGTGTGACAGAGGATCAGAAGTTCTTGGGTATGTAAATATGGTCAAGCCCAATGCTCATTGCCAATCTGTATCCCCATTTCTAAGGAATAACCTTGGGCCTGACACAACTGTTCTGACATTCTACTAATTGATGATAGAAGGCTGCGAGGCCTGGACCCATGCACCCCTAGGTAAGGCAATGGTGGCCCAGTGGATCAGGCTTCTGAAGGGAGGCCAGCAAGAAATCGGCTTAGAGTCAAAGCCAAGATCTGTGCGATTTGCCGTTTTTTTTTTTTTTTTTGAGACATGGTCTCATTATGTATGTAGTCCTGACTGGCTTGGAACTTGCCACGTAGACCAGCCTGGTCTCAGACTCACAAAGATCCACCTGCCACTGCCTCCTGAGTACACCACCACACACCTAGCTATGCCATTTATGTTTAAAGGTATGCCTAGACATATCTGATGCTACTCAGTTGACCATGGGGAAACACTTTGGGAAAATAGCTGCTGAAATTTCCTCACAATTTTTAATGGCTTTTAAAAAGTTTGGAGTCAGGAAAAAAATGGTGAACCACCATGTCCTACTGCCAACTGGCCCTGCTTGTTTGGTCAGTGGCTAGGTCACACAGAGGCAAAGGAAAAGCACCAGTATGAATATAGCATTCTTTCTCTTAGGTATGTAGGAGAGAGGTGTTGGGAAATAGTCATAGGCACCCTGCTGAGTTGAAGCTATACAGTATGACAGGGGCACTAGCTTGAGAACAGAGAGCTGGGTCCTGGTGCAAGCATCCCTGGGGGCCTGTACACCTTCTAATTGGGAAGAAGATGATGATACAGGTACAGGAACAGCTCTGGAATCAAAGGAGATGGGAGGACACTTCATGATTATGCCCAGGTGGCCACACACACATGATGAGGTATGAGGTTATAACAAGGTGGCCAGAAAAGTAGGACTGCTCTGCTCACCTAACCCTGAATAGCCCAGGATGCTAACTCTGCAGCCAGGACCCAGGAGGTATAGAGTTTTAGGGAGCCATGCTCCTGAAAAAGCCCCTCTTAAATACAGTGCTCATGTGGAAAGCTAGGATGGACAAGGGACCCTTGATACTGCCTTGTAAATATTCCTGTGTTGTCAAGTACCAGCTCTACTCTCTGAGAATAGTGAGGTGGATGACTGCCCTCCAGAGATGTGAGGCAATCCTTAGACTGATGCCTCAAGCCTGGGGGCAGAAGAGGCTCTTTGAGGGTGAGAAGGTGAGGGAATGAGTATGGAGAGGCCAGGGAAGACCACATTCTTCTCTCTGTAAGGGATGCTGCTTTCCTTCTGCTAGCCTTCCTTCTGGGTGAGACCACTCTGCAACCAGGAGTAGGGAGCCAGCAAGAGTATCTCCCAACTCTGCCTGCACAACAGCTGAGAGTCAAGAACACTCCCCTCCCCAATCCCACTTTTGAGACTTCAGTTGCCCCCAAAGCCTCCTTCTTGCATCACCAAGGAGAAATGGCTCTGGAAAATAAGTGGTGCTAAAGACCTTGAGGTTCTCAAAGTCTCGCTGGTACTTCTCCCGCAGGGTGGCCGTATCACCCTCCAGCTCCTTATGGCCCAGCTCCTCTCGCATGACATCCATCTGGGCCTCCAGCTCCTGGATGCGTTCTCGTAGCCCCATCATAGATTCTGCCTCACCCTCGGCTGCTGGCATAGTCCTAGGCTCAGATGGCTTGGGGGTCAGCGAGGCCTCAGGATGTGAGGGCTGGCAGAGGCTGAGGGCTCCCCGTAGGCTCCACATGTAGTGTTCCTGCAGGGCCCTCAGCTCTTCCCCATGGACGGCCTGTAACTCCCGGACCTTCAGCTGGAATCTGTCCTCCAGTGTCTGCATTTGTTGCACATGTTGCTGCTCCATGGCCTGCCTGTCTCTGACTGAAGCATCTAGCTGGCTTCGAACCCGGCTGCGCTCAGCCTGCAGTGTATTCTCAGTGCGGCTCAGCTGCTCCACCATGCACCTGATCTCTTCCTCATACCTGCCCTGCAGAGCAAACATGTTTTCACTGTGCTTGCTTTCTGCTTCTTGCAGACATCTCTGCTGATGGTTCATCTGGTTCACCTTGGCCTTGAGTTCAGTGTTTTCCCTTTCAATGAGGGTGATTACCTCCAGGTACTCACTCTTCTGTTTGTGGAGGAGTTCTTCATACTCCTCCCGCAGGGCTCCAACTACATGTGCATGCTCCTGGCATGAGGCACCCCTGGCCTCCTGACAGGCCTCTTTGTAGAACTGCAGCTCCTTTTCATATTCCAGGCGGATTCTGCAGGCTGCATAGCATACTTGAGCCTGAACAATTGCATTTTGAACCAGTAATGAAGAATACTGACCAAGGCCTGACAGACAAGCATCATGTGAGAGATGCTGTGACATCTGTAGAAGCTGCTGACAACTCCCAAGTGGCTCTGCAGGAGATATGGCTGGCAAGGCAGCTGCAATCTCCTCGAGGATGCTGGCCTTTTCACACAGCTGCTGGGCCAGCTCATCCTGAATGACAGCAAGGGCCTCAGGGCTCTGGTGCAATGCCTGCAAGGGTTCCTGGAAGCCATCTGTGCCTGGCTTCAGTATCTCTCCTAATGGGCTCAGGTCCCAGGATGTCTGTACCTGGTCTTCCCTGCCAGCTGAATGCCTAAGGGTTTCCAAGATCTGCTGTATCACTCTTTCAAAGTCTGGGGTTTGGTAGGCTCCCAGGATTTCCCCCAGCATGCACTTGTGCTGCTGCAGGGCTGCTTGAGTCCCTCGTAGGGTTTCCTGTATGCTCTGCAGCCTGCGGTAGAACAAGTCCCTTATTGACTGTGTGGCAAAGCTGAGTTCTGCACGAACCCATGTGGCATCAGCCAGGCTTTGGGAGATATGCTGCTGCCTGTCTCCTGATACACAGGTTGCTTCTTCTCCCAGTGTCCCCAGGTGCTTACTCAGGGACTCGACCTGGCTCCAGAACTCTCCATCCACCAGCACCTTCTTGGCCCAGGCCTCCACTGGAGCCCCAGCAGACAGAGTAGCACTTTCTTCTTTCAGTGGCCACTCTTCTGACTTAGTGAGCTCACAGAGAACACCATACACATCCGAGGTGGTATTTTTTAGAGAGTTGGCTATTTGGTTGATGAGTGAGGCCTCCAGGGCTATCTGAGCAGAAAGCAGCTTCATGTGCTCCTGCTCATTCAGTATAGGCTGGCAGGGTTGCTGCACAGTTGTCATGCCACTTTCCATACAATGTCCCTTCTCTTGCTCAACCTGGGTCTTGCTGTCTGCAGGGGCCACCCAGGGCTGAAGGGCCTTGATGGCACTCCCAAGCACACTCTCAATGCTGGCCAGGGAGGCCACTCGTGCATCCTGTCCTTCTTCCTGGTCAGCCTGTGGCAGAGATTTTATCTTTTCCCAGCAATTCTCTAAGCATGTCAAGGCATGGCTATTTTTGGCCTGGAAGTCTCCCAGCTCCCCAGCGTGGTGCTCAATGCTTGCAGCCCTTTCCTGTCTCTCCTGTTCCAGCTGAGAGGCCAGCGCACCTGCCTGTAGCAGGCTGGCACGGAGCTGCTCCTGCAGCTGTGCCTCAGTGCTGGCCCATTGCTGATGCAGTGCAAGCAGTGCTTCCTGACTCTGGCCCTGCTGGCTTTCCAGTCTCACAGTCACATCTTTGAGCTTCTCCTCTGTGACGTAGAGCTTGGTCTCCAGGGAGTGGATTATGGAGAGGTATGTCTCAGAGTCTGCAGCTGCAGGGAATGTGCTAGGGGTGGCCTCTGAGGAGACACTGTCCTCTGATGGTGACCTGTCCTGGCTGGTATCGGATGATGTGCTGCTGGTCCAGGCCTTTGCACAACCTTCAGGGTGTATGTATCTTTGGCACTGGATCGTGGAGAATCGGATCCTTGGCCTTTTGTTAAAAAGGCCAAGTGCTCCCTGGTCAGGCTTAGATGTGCTCTGAAGATGCCCCTCCCTATCAGGCATGTCCGCAGACTTTGGGGGCACCATATTTTCCTCTCTGCTGGGGCTGCCACTGCTACCCTCCTCCCCTACACCAGTGCCTGGGTCTTCATCTTCTGGTTGTGAGGGGGTAAAGCCTGGAAGTGCTCTGGTGACTTGGCCCAAGGGCAAAATGCTACTGTCCTCTTCTGTGTCCTCTGGGGTGCTCTGAGACTCCTCAATATCCTTTGGAGGATCAGTTACAAATCTCCTTAGAAATTCTTCCTTTGCCTGCAGCTTAATTTCTGTTTCCTCTAAGCTGCTGCCCAAGGCAACCATTTTAACCAAAGCCTCACTGAGGTCCTGGTCTTTCTTTTCCAGAATTCTCTCGTGTGCTTCCTTAATGTGCTTCAGCTCCTCTTCCTTTTCTCTCAGCAGAATGCGCATGCTTTGCAGCTGGACAGAGACCCTGTGGTGTGAGTGCTCTAGGTTCTGGTAGTCAGCTTCTCTTCCCCTTAGCTTCTCTTGGAGCTTAGCCATGTTCCCATCAGATGTGGCCACATGTTCCATCAGCTCTTGGAACTGCTGCTTGACAAGGTCCCGTTCATCTCGGAGGCTCTGTACATGCTGGGTTAGCTGGTGGATGCTGGCCTCCCGGACTTCCAGCTGTTCCTCTAGCTGGTGCACTTGTTCACTGCCCTCGCATGTTGCACTCAGCTTCTCTTTCTGGAGGGCTTCTACCTGCTGCACGTGGCCCTGAAGCTGGTCCTCATAGGCACTGGCCTTGTCCTCCACCTCCTTCAGGTTCTGTAGCAGTGTCTGCTTCTCCTGCTCGCAGCTCTCCAGCAGAAGTGCATAGTTCCTCTGCAACTTCTCCTCCATCAGATGCTGCGCCTGCTCGCTGGTACCCAGCTGCTGGGTGAGCTCAGCAATGCGCTCTTGCAGCCTCTGTACTTCCTTCTGTCTGTCTCGCTGCAGTGCCTGCTGCGTCTCCAGGTCCCTCAGTTCCTGTGTCTTTTCTAGCAGCAAGGCCTCTGCACTTTTGAGCTTCTGCTCGCTGGCCCTCAGCTGGCCACTCAGCACGGCCTCGCTGTGCTGCCACTCCTCCAACTGCTCACGGACCTTGCCCTGTTCCAGCTTCAGCTCCCCCTTGAGCTTGGCCAGAGCCTGCTCCTTGATGGCCAGCTCTGCAGCAGCATTACCGAGCCTTGCTTGTAGGCTCCGAATCTCGGCCTCATGGTGCCGGATTGCATCCTTGGCCTCCCCATAGCTACGTTTCAGGGTCTGAATCTGTTGTGTGATGAGCTCCTGCCGCTGGCTCTGGGCTTCCAGCTCACTTTGGAGGTCTTGGTTGACTCTATGGAGCCTCTGCCAGGCACCCGATGGGGAGGTGGCCACTTCAGTCTTAAAAAAACCGATTAAATACTGGTTAGTAACACTCGGGCCACCCCATTCTGAGTGTCACACCTCTGGCGGGATCAACCATAGAAAAACTCCTTGGTGGGTTTGGCTTTAATCCTTTGCACATTATTTTTCCTCATTTAAAGAAAATTGAAAATTTTTTTTGGGGGGGGGTGGTTTTTTTTGGCAAATAGCGGCTTCCACGTAAACGGAAAACATGGACAAAAACATCAAAGAACAGCTCTAACTCAACAGCACCTAGGAGAAATAAACCAAATAAAACTGAATAATGGAACACGCTGAGAAGTGAAACAGAGATTCAAGGACAAGAGGGCGCCTGCCTCTGTTTTGCAAAATGAAGTATGAGGTTCTAGACCACAGGTCTAAATAAGCACAGGGCATGAGGTGCAGGGAAGTGACATCACTTCCTTCCAGGACAGAGGGAGAAGGAAGGCAGGTAACTGCTTGAGAGATGTCAGCAAAGTGACATTGAACCGTTTCCTTTAGAAAGTGTAGCCACGACTCCAGAGTAACAGGAAAACTAATCTACCTGCAAGGAGACAGAATGAGGGCAATGTAGACCATGGAGCAAAATGTGTTGTAAGTAACAAAACAAACTTCGGTGCTCAAAATAAGAGTGAAGCATGCAAAACCCAAAATAAAAAACTCCCCAAACTGAGAAACACACAACAGAGACTGAACTAATATAAAGCAGGGAAAACAGCATGGATAAGGGTCAGGAGAGCCCTGCCAAGAATCTGACCTGCCCAGGTTCACTCTGTCTGCTGGTGGGGAAGCCACAGATGTGACACTCAGGTAAGTTCTAGTTCCACACCATGCTTACCATCCAAAGCATGCAGATCCCTCCCAGGAATTAGGACAACACCCATACCAGAGCTTGCATCTCTTAACCCTCTGCCCCCAAAGGCCCCTTCCCCCCTTTCACTTTTGGCTATAAACATTTCCAAAGCTCAGGGGTAGTGCGATCACGTATTATTAGACTGAGCAGGAAGTTGGTCCAGTGCTGACCAACAGGGTCTTCAGTGTAAGTGCATGTGATGGTCACATTAGACACACAGGTTAGCAATGTGCAAAGCCTCTCAGCAGTGTCTTTATCACTAGGTCTCCAATGAAGGCTTAGAAAGATGTACTCCAAATGAGGGAGGGCCTGAATGAATAACCTAAAGGTTCTCTGAGTGGGTTATGTACAAAGGAGATGCCTGCTATGACCAGTTCCAGGTACAAGTCTGAAGTAGGAATGGCAATGAGTTTGCTAGAAGGGAGAAGGGTGCAGGAACATAGAATGCAGGGCAGAGGTAGGCCAGGGGCACATGCAGCAGTATGTAGGGAGTGGAGCAGGAAGGCAAGGCAGGCTGTGGTTAGAGGGGAGTAAAGGACCTCTGGTTTACCTGAGCCTTGAATAACTCACACTGAGAAGGTCAGTGTATAAAGGTCTGGGAATGTCAACTTGGAAGATACTTTGGGCCTTTGAAGGGCACTAGATCTAAGTCACACAGGCAGGAGGCTGCTGCTATAGGGGAAGGGGTATGCTTCTTGGGTTAGCGGCCCAGAGGCAAGACTAGAACCTGGGACCTGACTCCAATGTCTTATCCTTGGCCTTTGCCGAGAGCTTCAGTTCAGTTTCCCTACCCCATCCTACTACCCCAAAACCTATTTGTTGACTCCCCACCAGCAGGACAATACCCCAGGGCAAGAGTATGTCTCTTTCATGTCTCAGAGCTAGCATGGAGTCTAGGATGCCATAGGACAATACATGCCATCTGTCCTCATACCAGGCTACCTTGAGACTGCTTTGTGACATACCCCCAGAAGGGCTGCCATACCCTGGAAACCTGAACGCAGCAGGACTCTACAGCAGACATCTCCAAGAGAAGGACACTGGACTTGAGCTGTCAGTTCAGCACCCTAGCTGCTACTGCCCTCAACCTGCTTCTGGCTAGATGGCCATGTCCTTCTGAAACTGGCCAGGGCAGAAAGTTAAAAAGCAGGAACACAGGCTGGGTGTGGTGGTGCATGCCTTTAATCCCAGCCCTCAGGAGGCAGAGGCAGAGGCAGAGGCAGGCGGATCTCTGTGAGTTCCAGGCCAGCCTGATCTATATAGCGAGTTCCAGGCCAGCTTGGGCTACAGGGAGGCTCTGTCTCAAAAAGACCAAAAAAAATGTAGGAACAGTGCAGGTCTGCTGCAGGTGGTATAGAGAGAGATACAGGTGGAACTGGGTGGTGGGGGGATGGGGGGTGTACTTGGCTTGCGGTATTATTCAGTTTCTCTAATATGTACAAGGGGCCAAATCCCATTATGGTAAAAACAATGAGAAATGGAATGCAGACACATACTATTAATAAAAACACAGTGGCTGGAGAGCCAAAAAGAGAGACCACCAAAGTTATTTCATTACCAAAAAGCAATCCTCAGATGTAGAGGTTTCAGGCACAGTCCTCAAAATGTTGTAGTAACAGGAAAAATGAACACAGAACACAGCACCGGTCCTTGGGAGCTGACCCAAGTTTTGCCGTATTTGCACATTCCTAGCCTGTGGGCCTGAACAGGTCCTTCGCACTGAAGCCCCTGGGTGTACTGCCAGCTGGGCAGCTGCCCACCCTACCTGCAGCACATAGCCCTCCCGGGCGCTCTGTTCTCGGCCCAGGGCTACCCTTAGCTGGTCCTGCAGAAGCCGGTTCTGCTCTAGAAGATCTGAGGCTTCCTTCTGGCTCTGCTCCAGCTGTTGGTAAAACGAAACAACACTTAAAGCAACATGATGACAATAAACAAAAGCAGCTGACCCCAGGGGCCAAAACAGTCTTCAAATCTCAGTGGATACCCACAGCATATGGAAATGAAGGTTTCAGATATATGAAAACAGCATGACTGCTCCCTTCTCGTGGCTGAGAGACGTTTCCTGCTCTTGCCCTAGGCATCCCTGCCTGCCCCCACCAAGCTTCCACATCAGCTCATAGCTGTACTATGCAAGCCCAATAGCCCGTGTGGAAAGTCTGTATCTGGGGAGAGGCTATGCCCCACGGAGAAAGGAAAACTTCATATTTTTTAAATTAAAAAGCTTTTCTAATTTATTTTTATGTGTATGAATGTTTAATCTGCATGTACCTATGTGTACCGTGTGTGCCATGCTCATGGAGGCCAGAAGAGGGCACTGGAGCCCCTGAAACTAGAGTTATAATTGCTGGCTGCCATGTGGGTATGTTCCTATATGTTCTCAAATAAGACATGGAATCCTCTACACTCTTGCCTTCAGCAACTTCAGATTCACTATTCGTCACCCACCTTTTTTTTTCCAACCCTGAGATCCTCCCTGATGCTTAGCTACAAGGGAACTGCCCTGCCCTGTTGTGCCTCAAGAGGCAGGCAAATGTTAAGGACTGAACCCCATACTGCTATCTAAATAAAAACTCAACATGCAGTCTTGCAGACCAGAAGGCTCTTTTTGATAGCTTAGAGTCTTATAAGTTTGAATTACTTTATTTCATCTTGACTGTATTATTTTATTAATGGATATAGAAAATGGAAAAATCAAAGTGTTGGTGCTAGTGCTAGTGATCTCTCAAGGCTCATAAATTTAATAAAATAGGGAAAAGCAGCAGCAACAGGAGGTAAGCTGAGGTGGTAGATCTTCAGTTGGCTACTACAGAAAGGACACATATGAAGCCTGCTGAGGAAAGTGCTCCTGAGGGTACAAAAACTGAAGCCCTAGGCGGGCTTAGCACATCCAAAATGCTTCAAGTGGCGATTCTGGATTTCAGAGTGTTGCTGTTGTTGCTGTCTTATTTATTAAATGACTCTAGAACTATATATAATAACGAGCAATTTTGAGGATGGGGACCAATCTAAACACGAACTTTACTTATGCTTCATTTTCACTTTACACACAGGATCTGAAGGTAATCTTATTTGGACATTTTGTTTTGTTTGGCAGTGCTAAACACAGGTTCACTCTCCTCCTCACCTATTGTATTTTGAATAATTTTGTGCATGAAACAAAGTTTCACAGTAGGAAATTTTCTGTTTTTGTCATGTTAAGGTTCAAAATCTTTTGGATTTTGGAACAGTTTGGACTTTTGAATTAAGGACGTTCATCCTGTAACTTCTTTGGCCATGGAACTCACCAGTGAGATATAAACAGATGTGAGACACATTCTATGAGACTCCTCAATGCTATAAACACAGGATGCTAGCTTGTACAGCTCTGTCCCCAGATCCCAGGATAACTCCCATCTAATGTCTGCCACACCACAGCTCAACATAGCCCTGTTTTATGTCCTAAATGTCTAGGATCTAGTCTTTGCCTCCCAATGTCTGCCCCTGCCCGTGTGGGTCTGAATGACCGTCTCTAGGCCACTGTCAAAATACCAACTTCTGGCTTTCTTCTGTTCTCCAGTGCTGTCTCATACAAAGCAAAATCTATCTCTGCTCATACCTCCTCCATCCCTCACTCAACACCCCTTACTCATGCCTTGTCACAGGTGGAACAGGTCCCTGCAAGCTACCACCAGCCTCCTGTATCTGGCTACACAATTCTATTCATACCTTCTATTCTTTGGGGAAGGCCTACAGCCCATTCTGCCACTGAGTTGGCACTCTTTATATGAGCCTCCACTTTGATTGCAAAGATCTGCTTTTCTAGAGGCCCATAGGTCCAAGGGAAGACTGGCTGCCACCTTAGCAATGAAGTACACGGTGCTAGAGGAAGGAGGCCTATCCTACACTACCTCTTTCTCCAGCAGAGACGTGAGCTCATGTGTGGTGAGCCGCTCACTTCCATCCTCGGAAGACAGGTGCAGAGGGGCGATGGGCACCTGTTTCTCCTCCCGAAGAGGGGTAGTTTCCACTTGGTGCCACCGCTGCTCGATTTCCACATGGACGTTCTGTGTCTTGAGATCAGAGGGGCCCAGAAGCCCTGGGCTGCGGTCGACCTCCATGCGTAAGGCTGCATCCTCTGCACTTGGGCCATCCATGGTGTCCAGCATCCCAAAACGCTTGCGGCGTTCTTCTCGTCGCCGAGCTCGTTCACGTTCCAGTTCACCTGGGTGCCCAGGTTCACCAGCCTGATTAGGGGACCCAAGAGTGCTGGCTCTTTCCTGAGCTAGGGCCTGCTGAATGGGGCGGAATTCAGCCCAATCAAAGGTCTTGGAGCGGCCCTCTCGTCTCCGCTCTCGAGCTCGGCTCCTCTTCTGCTCGGGATCTGGCTCCCCTGGCTCAGTTTCTTGCTTCTCATTTGGCCTTGAGTAGCTCTCAAAAGAAGTGGAGTTCTTACTCTTTTCCTCAGGCAATGAGCTATGGGGTGGGGAGCAAACAGCACTGGTCAGAAAGTCTGGATATCTGGGCAGGTCACGGGACCAGCCCACATCTGTTCCTCATCTTTTTTCTGTCCCCAAAGTGGCTTCCAAATGCAGAGAGAAGAATGTTCTACCTGTGCCTCGTGCCCTTTCCTTAAGGAACCCAAACCTACTTGGTGAGGAGGGGAAGCGAAAAGCCTCAGCTACTCCCGAGACTTCCAGCTCTCATACTTTTAAGAGATATGAGTCTTAACAGAGGCCCTATCATAGATGCTGAGGAAAAGGGAGTTGAGGAACTCCTGCAAGCCTCACATGTGAGAACAGCCTAGCCACTGTCCAGACACTTGGTGAGGCTGGTTGTGAAGCAATCCCACACTGGGCAGAATGACAGAATAAGAGCTCCTCCAAAGGGCTCAGGGGTTTCAATAAGCAGGAGACACCATTACCTCTATTAATAATAATAATAATAATAATAATAAAAAATAAAATAATAACAACACCCACTATGGCCCTAGACATGACAGAAGGATCAGAATGAAAGGCTGAGACTATAAGTCAAGGGGATAGGTGGCCCAGGTAGTAACAAACCCACCCCACCAGGGAAAAGGCAGCACAGAATCTACCACTTTGTAAAAGGGGTGACCAGGAGCACAATTGTACAGGTTAAGCTTGCTGGTGCTGCAAGTTGCCCAGCAGCAACAGGGAAGAAGATCATCAGCATGGAGAATCTCTGCCTTTTCCCAATCTTCCCCAAGGAAGATTTTTGGAAAGACCTCCCATCTAGTTGGGGAGGGGACCAGAACATCACCAATGGTAACAAGGCAAGGGGCTGGGAGTGGGCTTGCTGACAGTAGAGTCCCAGTGATTGCCAGCTGGCCCTGTCTTATCCAAGCCTCAGCAGAATTGGAAGTGATAGGAGGACCCAAAAGAGCACTTGTTTTTTCGGTTTTGTTGTTTGTCGTATTTTTTTTTTTTTTTTTTTTTTGGTCTTTTTGAGACAGGGTCTCCCTATAGCCTTAGCTGGCCTGGAACTCACTATGTAGACCAGGCCGGCCTTGAACTCACAGAGATCTGCCTGCCTCTGCTCCCTGAGTACTGGGATTACTTGCATTCACACTAAGGCCAAGAAGGAGACTGCAAAAAGGATGTCAAAGAAAAGAGAAAGTGAATTCCATTACTTTCGGGTCACCTGTTCTGACAGCCACCAACTCTGATGATCTGAGTTCAATCCCCGGAGCCCACATGGTAGAAGGGCAGAAATGGACTCCCATAAGTTATTCTCTGAGCAACATGTGTATCATAGTATGTGCATTTAAAGGCATACACACACACATGCAACAAGCAAACATAAATACAACAAACCACTCCAAAGTTGTCCTCTGACTTCCACATGTGTGCCATGGCATGCACACCCCCAAAACATCATACACGCACACAATATTAAGTATTTTTAAAAAAGAATCAAGGAGCTTTAGAGCAGTTAAGATCAGCAAGGGTCCAGTTTAAAATCACACAGATACATATAAATAAAAATGAGCTGGAACACATACCAATAACCTAGCACTCAGCAGGCTGAGGCAGGAGAACTGAATGTAAGTCAACCTGGGCTACATAGTAACACTCTCTCGCACAAGAAAACAAAACATAACTCAGAGTGGATCCTTCACAATCATGAGCTAAGAACACTGGTGGAGGTTCAGGTCTATGAGGGGAATTGAAATGACACATGGGAACAGGCAGGGGGCAGTGATCCCCAGTCAGGATTCCCAATAGGCATGTTCCTGGGAGAGGAAGCCCCAACCTGGAAGGCCAGCTGTACTGAGACTTCTTCACCACAGATTGCAGATAGCAACGAGAAGCAGGGCAAGGCCAGCAGCTCTGACACTGCTGTCCCTGCTTCTAATACATTCTGGAGTTGTAGCAATAAAACAAGCCAGGTTTCTTATGAAAGAGCCTCAACTAATTACAGCAATATAGGTTAAAAACAAACAGGTATAAGGACACTGTACCAGTTTGAAGACACTAGACTGTAAAGTAGATTCTAGACAGGAAGACAATGACTGGCCCACTTCGGCATGAAACAAATACTGATATCACCTTGGGCTTCAGTTCCTTTATGGAGCACAGCATGAACATGCATGTATGAGAGCCTGCCCTGGACATCCTAACACTGATTTCTTCCAGCCATGACTCTCCATCTGAGCATGAAGTCTCAGCAGGGCAGTCAAGTGTCTTTTTCACTTTGGGGCTAGGCCTCCCACAGGAGCTGGGATAAGCTCCAGGAGACTTGGACTACAGGCTCTGCTCTTGACTGGAGGCCACTGCTCATTTTCCAACCACACTGCACAGCTCTTGAGAGATGGCATAGGACCATTCTCCATCGACACCTCCTGGTCCTACAATGCAGAAATCAATACATACTGTCTGCTGATGAGTAAAGAAATGAGCATATGATGGATACCAGAAAGGGGGCTGAACTCTTGTTCAGGTTTCCTTTCCTTCTCATTCAAAAAGGAGTAGAATCAACATCCAGGAGGAGGAAAGGTTTGAGCCAAGAACAGGTACAGCTAATGCTGCCACGGGCCAGCACCCTTAGGCCACCTGCACCTCCACACAGCCGAACCTCTGACACCAAAACCATGCTTGGCAGTAACATGAACTATCCAGTTGAGAAAGGACAAGGTGTTCAGGATGAGGACTGGGCGCAGCAGAGCAAAACTTGGCACCATACTGCAGAGCATCTCTGCTGCCTTGAAGATAAACACTGGCATGTCTGGAACCTTCAGAGCAAGAAGAGGAGGCATGCAGCGTGTCCCAAGGGATACGCACCACAGTATGTTAACACAGGAGAGAACACACTTTTCCAACTTGGGCTTCAGCACCGACAGTCTCAGACAGAAGCTTTTCCTGGTTGCACAAAAACCAAACAGATGCAGGAGTGAGGCAAAAGGACTCTGAGGAAGTACAAAGCTATGGTGGCTTGTATGGCAGCTCAGGGTGTCCTCACCCAGTCAGGGCACAGCCACCAGAGGGCCCACAGTAAAGGGCTGAACTAATAGAGACGTTCATGCTGACAGTAGGCATGAAGGTGATGTGTGTGGCTGACTATGCCAGTTTAACAGAGTAAAGGTTGGCAAAGGCAGAAAGATGGAGAATCACAGGGGACAAATGCGGCCAGCTGACAATGGGCCAGAAGGGAATGAAGTCATGCTGTGGTGTAGCTGGGCTCAGGCATCAGGGAATACCAGGTACCCTAGGGTAACTAGCAGGGTTCCCTCAGCACGGCCACCATCTTACCTGGTCACATCTGGGGCAGGGGTTGGGTGTACGTGCTTCATGATGGTCTGGATCCAGTTCCGCCGGATGCCGGATGTCATGGCCGACAGTGTGAACTCACCCTCCTTAGTCTACACAAAAAATACCAGTCCGTCAGTGGCCAGCCCTGGGGGCTAACTACTGCTTCCCATCTCCAAAGATAAAAAGGTCCCATAAGAAGGAGGGCAAGGCTAGGCATCCTTCCTAGAAGTGTTGTGTGTGACTTGCTTGGGACAGGGCCATACTCTGGGGGAATGGTGAATTGAGTGTTTCCTCCACAAGCCAGCATACACTAGTGCCTTCTATGTAGCACCTGCAGGCCGCACACAGTTGGATAAAGATAACTCTATTCAAGAAGCTCTTCTAGCCCTGGGGGCAAGGACACAGAACCAGCCTAAGGATAGGTAGAATGCTAGAACCCAGGTCCAGCATCCTGCAGCCTCAACACAGGTATACAGTGTGACAAAAGAGAAGAAAGTGGACAGATACAAGGGACAGCCTGGGGTCTCTACCTGCTCAGAAAGTGCAGGAAGACTCACTATACTACTCCTGCCATTATTCAGGTGATGAGAATTAAGGCACTGGCAGAGGAAAGGTATTGGTGGAGTAGGAAGGATGTCACTGGCTGGCTGGGTCAGGAGGAGCCTGTTTACAGTGGAAACACTAAGCAGATAGGACAAGGAAGCCAAAATCTCAGCCAAGGGTACTCTAACAACATCAGCTGGTAGGAAGATGAAATCTTGATGACAGCTTATGTGTCAGGGGGTCATAATACTACAGAAAGCTCACATTCTTTTCAGCTGGTCCATTCTACCCCTTGATACAGGTGCTTCTAGAGTCTGGCTTCAGTTCTGCAGCTAAGCTTTGTGAGCCTCAGGGCCACTTGCCCACCTCATGCTCTCAGAAAGCCCGTCACTGCCTCAAACATTCCACTAACCAGAACTATAGAAGAATCATATCCCCTGTGTCTCTGGCCAGTGTATACGGGGGCCACCACACAGCAGTAGCAGGAGCTCTCAGGTCCTGCCTTACTCATCTTTCCTCCCTGACACCTTCAGTTCTTCCTTCCTTGCCTACTAATACCATGGCTACCTGCCTAGTCTCCCTTCTGTTCCCTCCCTACTGCAAGTTCTGCCAGATGTATCTCATTGCTAGTGTTTTCTACACCCCCTGGACAGCATCTCCTGATATACAAGTGTTGTTCTCAGGTGTTACCCCTACCTGCTTTCTGCATCAACACCCTCTTCTGAGCTCCTTAGGGGAAAACTGGTCCACCATTTACCATGGCTAGTATAGGAAGAAAGCAGAGTTCTCAGATTGCACAAACCAGTGCTTTGAGACATCTGCTAATCAAGCTGAGGATGGGGGACGGGATTCCCACTGGAAAAGGAGGTTCAGCTCAGCATCCAACTCCCAGAACATCCTACCTCGTTCAAAGGTAACAGGGATAGAACACTGCAGCTGGGCAACAAGGAGCCAGGCTATGGGAGCACACATGACCAAGATGTGGCTTCCTTCTCATACACCCACTGCATAGAGTACAGCCATGGTCAGTTGTCCAGGGACAGGCACCAGGCTCCTCCTAACATCAAGGACACTGACCTTCAGGGGTGTGGGTTGGTCCCTCTAAGTTTGGTGGGTTTGAGATAGCCTTCAAGTGTCTATCAACTGAACACAGAAATGGACTTGAGTTTCTGGGCCCCAAAACCATAAAGAGCTTCCCCTAGTGAGCCCACCTGAATTCTAGCCTTGAGCTACAAGTCAAATTCCATGGTACAACTCTCTACGTGCCGTTACTCTGAAGGCTCTGGTAAGGGATGAAAAGAGGGGCCTGGCCTTGTCTTGCAACTGTGAAGTGTCTTGCAAGACTACATTCTGGGTGACTGGAGAGCTACTGTGGTCTGCCTAGGACACCACTTGGTAATGGCAGTGACAAGGTTATGTAAGGACAGGCTGCTGCATCAGAAAGAATAAACACCAACCATGAACCTGGAGAGTTGACTATCACAGTCATGAAGTCTCAATGAAGACAGCACCAAGGCCCAGGCAAGCTTCCTAGAAATTCCTGGTCTCTGGGGCCCAGCTGATTTCAAGCAGCCCTTGATCAACTCTGGTATCAGGGGTGTCCAATAAGATTACTTTTTAAAGGGCAGGGCCATGCCTTGCTCATTTGAGTACCTCAAAAGATTTTGGGGAAAAAAAAACCCCAAAACTTGTGAGCCAATGTGAATTAAAAGCTAAGATTTGAAAAATTAACATTCATTTTATTCCCCATATCCTTCACCCTTCCAATGACTATATCCCAGCATAAAAGAAAAAGAGCAATTTCTATAACAAAGCCTTTCAACATCCTTGGAAAGAGATGCAAATGCCTAATTTTTTGTCCACACTACACATCAGGAATACTGGGCAGGAGCCATAGAATGGAGGCATCACCACTAACAGGAAAAATGGCTGACCACACATATAAGTCAGGCCTGCACCAGAGGTACCCCCAGCCTGGACAGTAGGCTCTTGGAGCTATAACCCTGATGGTCAAGTCTCCCTTCCATCCCCAGGCTTACATGTATCTGGAAGCCATAATTTCTCTGGACTGGATACTCTGTGACATCATAACAGGTGGACAAATCAATTTCTCCATCCAGGTCAGCTGCCTTCAGGGAGAAATGAGAGGGTATGAAAAGACTCAAGAAGAGCTGATGCCCAAGTGAGCATTATCTCTACGAGTATGTCTTGTACTGACTTCACAGACAGTCACCTGTTCCACTACTGCCAGATCCAAGTCCCCTTCCTTGGGGTATCCATGCCACTATTTCCCTGTGTATTTGGCCAAGGAAATTCCATCCCAAATGTGTTGATACGGAAATTCTTTTACACGCTTGCAAACTAAGGAGGCTCTTGGGGTGGAAAGATCACTCAGCACCTAAAAGCGCTTTACTGCTCTTGCAGAGGACCTAGATTCAGTTCCCAGCACCCACATGGCCAGCTCACAAACGCCTGTAACTCCAGTTCTAGGGGATCTGATGCCCTCCTTTGGCCTCCACAGGCACTGCATATGTGTGGTGCACTTACATGCGTGCAGGCAGAACACTCAACATATAAATAAGTAAAAATAATAAATCTTTTAAAAAAGAGCATTGCTGTTCTTGTAGAGGACTTGGGTTAGGTTTGCAGCACCTACATGGTGGCTTACAACTGTTCTAGTTTCCGTAGGCACTGCATATACACTCATATACATATAAAATAAAAAAATGGGCTGGAGAGATGACTCAGTGGTTAAGAATACTGGCTGGTCTTGCAGAGGACCCAGGTTCAAATCAGCACCCATATGGTAGCAAACCACTGTTCATAACTCCAGTTCCAGGGGAATTTGACACCTTCTTCTGACCTCCGCAGGCAATGAACAACATGGGTGCACTTATATACATGCAGGCAATACACTCATACACATAAAAAAGAACTGGCGCATGCCTTTAATCCCAGCACTTGGGAGGCAGAGGCAGATGGATTTCTGTGATCTCAAGGCCAGCCTGGTCTCCAAAGTGAGTTTC